TTACATGACATGCTTGATTGTTAAATTTTATTAAAATTAAGTATTTGTTTTTTATTCCATTTAACTTCATATTAAATATAAACAATAATAAATTATTATGGCAATCGTTACATAATTTAAATTAAGAGTACAATAAAATTCAATTCGGTAATAATAGAAAATTTAAATAATTATCAATGAAATGAAAAAAAAAATGGACCATTATTGAAAAGTAATTCCTTTTGGTTAATTATCCTGGTCGTCGGCGTCGGGTTTTAATTTTTTTCTTTCCATAATTAGCTTATTAATGTTTTATTTTTTTCGCTATTATTAGTTGAACTATTTTCCGTACCATATCAGGCCAATATGTACCGCCTATCATACTCAATATTTTCGTCAGTCTTCCTAATAATGTAGTTTCATAACACCACGCAATTCAAGTCTAATTTTATCAGTTATTTTATGACTATGATTAAATATAAATACTTTAATTCTATATGATATTATTTATCTGTTGCACACACCATGACATCATCTACATAAACAAAATATTACACACATAATATTTTAACGTAGTTTCCGCAAATTAATATTGTATTTCATGTCTATAAAGATATTATGATACGTTAACATTTGTAACTGTAATGTTTCCTATAATTAAACACCTACCTAGCTTATTATATATCGGACATCTGAGATACAACGCCATCTAGTTTCAAACTAAGCAGAGTTTGTACTATGAAAGCTAGATTGATACAATACTTATATACTTTTTTTGTAATGAAAACTTCTTTAAGCGCATTGTCCATTTTTGAATAACAAACAAAATAATGTATTTTTTGAGATGGAAAAAAAAAGCACTGAACTCGCGACACTGTTACCGTTACCGACACCTCTGTATATAAGTATCTACATACATATATTGGCCCTTAAATACCTTGAAAATATAACTACTTATAATAAAAACTTATATTGTGTATATACGTACAACGTAGATATACATATATGTATATACATTTCGGAACTTTTAGAATCGAATTAAACAAAAAAAAACCTGTTATAATCAAAAAATTTCGTGTTTTCAGTTCTGTCAGCACTCCCGGAGTGCTAGAGTTTTATTTTTCCTAAATAGGTACATACATATTAGACAAACAAATATTTGCAGATTATACAGCAGTGTCTGGGTGTAATTTATCCATAATATGTATGTATTTAAAAATATATATGTATGTTTATCACAAGTCTGGTTACCATAGCACAGGCTCTGCCTAGTTTGGGATCAGACAGCCGTGTGCGAGATGTGTGAGATATATTATATTATATTATCATTATACAAACATTTGGTCCGACCCGGGAATCGAACCCGAGACCTCAGCACAGCAGTTGCATAGTGTGTGTTAAGCAATTCTTTCGTCGATTTTCACCAAATGAGCGAGGTTACCGAACCCCATATCTCTGTGTGGAGGGAGGAGGGGGGCTACCGAGGATCTCAGGGCGCCAACGCACTTATCACTCTCGAGTCATAGGTATTCATGGGCGGCGGCAGCCCCTTATAAAACTAGTCTATGTAAACCAGAATCTTATTTCCAGTAGGTGTTTGAAATACTCAGGATTTTATTTTGATCTGGAAATCTCTACGAGTTCCTGTCTTAGTTACGTGACAGCAGATGAATATATATGATATATAGATAATATGCCAGGGTCTCGAGTATAGCTTAGAAAGACTATATCGAGAAGCCTTGTAGACTTTAACAATTGTCCTGGCAACCCAATCGTCCACTGCTAAATCTCTTTTCTGTCCTCTTGCCAATGCCAACCTCGGGAATTTGCTGTGTTTGTTTAAGTCTGGATAAATTGGAATATCAAGGTTCGGCCTCTAAATTAACGGATTTCCGAATATTAATGTATGTTTATCTCCTGCGCCTGCGCAGAGAACACGTGTTGCTGATGCGATCCGACGTGGTAATGCGACTGGCACGTGATCATCAACGCAATTATTTAGAACATAACTATGCTGTATTATTAATTATTGCATCTATGACAAATTGTAAAAATAATTTAACGATTTTAGATCAAGATTTTTATCGTGTGAAAATTTGCACATTTAGTTACAAAAATGTTTACATAATATACACCTAATGGTACACTACCAATTAAATTAATATCCGTAAAAGAGAAGAATAACATATAAATAAAATTCTAAATGGTTGAAGCATGTACGAGTTTGTCCGGAAATATACGGACATTCCCGGATAAAATTTTACAATAAATGAAATATTTTAATATTTAAAAATACAAGTTGTAGGTACCAGAAAAGTTACTCAAAGACAACTTTTTTATTTTTGCACAATCTCTACATTACTCTACATAACTTTCGTAAAGTAACAAAACAGCTAAAAGTAACACGTAGTATAGAGTAGGAAATGTAGACCGCGTTTGTTGTGACCATATCTAGTTCAAGGCCATCTCATCAAAGATTACACAATTTTATCGCTTCCTTGTTGTTGTTGTTATAATACAAGATTTGTACAAGACCTTGTTAACGTCGAACACATAGCGTTTATTACACATGCTTTAATCTAGTTTACTTTTGTTTGAGGCAGAAAAGCGACTAATCGTAATTTATAAGGAAGTTTACATATTAAGTTGCTAGGTTAACTACTAAAAAACCTTGTACTATATATATTTTATAGTAGCCAGTCAATCTACAATAGTACAGTTGGAGATTTATAAATAAATAATAGGTAATCAAAGTCTATTAGAATTTAAACTAATACTTCCTCGCAACTAATATTAGTGGAACTGAGGTAAATTGTATTTTGCCCTATAATCACTGTTAATCCTTAAATAAATGTATATCTATTGTCTATATACATGCACTGCTAAGAGAAGGAAAACTTGAAACAAACAGTATACCAACCCGCCCAGCCAGCGTGGTATAGTAAGCCAAAATCTCCTTACTAAGAGGAGATCCATGTCCAGCAGAGGACTATTCAAGGCTGTTGATGATGATACAGAAATACACTCACGTTTTTGTCACGGAACTGGTAGACACGAGCGTTTTAAACGTGTGCCTTTTGATGTCTACAGTATATCCTATTTACGTAATAGAGGCCAAGCTTATTGTTGACAACCGGGTATTTTAAGATATAGATTTCAAAATAACGAACGTAATTAAGGGAAATATAGAAAAGACTGACGATAATGGTTAGGTTATTGGTTATTCGGATAAATTAGAGAGGTTAAGTAATAGTTCAAAGAGGTCAGGGCATTATACCGCTGTAACCCAATCCGACTGTTGCCGGCAATTTGGAGTTATCTAACCTCAATTTGTGTAAATTGGCTAATCCATATTTCCATACTTTTATTATAAATGTGAAAGTGAACTTGTTTGTTAGTTTGTTACGCTTTCACACCTAAACTACTAAACCGATTTTAAAAATTCTTTGACTAATAGAAAGCTACATATCATAAGGCTACTTTATAATACCGTAAAAACCGAATGAATGATTCGGTTTTTATGACAATTAAATAACTTTACACATCGTAACCTTATAATTATGTACGGCAGTAGATACAGATTCTTTTATCTGTTTCTCTATCAAATCCTTTTACTCACATAGGTACACACCTTCCGATAACCGGAGATGTGCGGGTCTGACACCGCACATCGCGCACCGCACTTACATTCTGAGTAAGCGAATGTGATAACTCCCAAAGAATGTGAAAATGTATCGATTTACGTTTCAATAGTAATTTCACGATTACATCGATGCCTTCAATGCTCTCAAACATTTCAAGCTTCACTAGACAACTCTCTACATTAATTCCTATTGCAATTTGTGTTTCTTTTGGTACAAGTTATGAAATGTAAGCGAAAATATACTCAGATTGAGTAATTAAATTTGTTTTCATTCTCGACGACTGTCAGTACTTGTGGGATCGAACCCCAGCATGAACACTACAGTCATCCACTTCTAATACTTATTTAGAATAGTAATAGATAGATTATTTAATTATATATTTGTTCGAAAAATTGCTAGTAATATTATCCAACATGTTAGGAGCATCTTCCTAGGACAAATGACTGTGAAATGAGCATGATTACCCATTCTGTGTTTAAATGTTATTTATCTATATATATATAAGAGATTTCCACGTATATAGTCACTCATCACGATATCTCTGGAACCGTAAGAGCTAAAGATTTGAAATTTGGTAGGAATATTCTTTTCACCGAGTAGAGGTCAGCTAAGAACGGATTTTACGAAATTCCACCCCTAGAGGGCTGTGCGGGGGCGTTGAAAATTAATTTTTTTTTGGCAGAACAACGTTTGCACGGTCAGCTAGTCTTTATTATGTATGTATTTGGAAATATTTTATAAGTATGTTTATAAGCACCGTAAGACTCATACTAATGTAGTGATAGTTCATGAGAGTGGCCAATTTAAGTTTATTAAACTTTAACCTGAAGTACTACCTAATAATGGAGCAACTCACAGCGTTTGAGTCGTTCATTACACAACGAGCAGCGCTCACATATCAATATACAGTCCTGAATTGAACAAACAGGTCACCACGTCCGACACCGATGTCATCCTGCCCGATGACACAGTAATGTGATAATTATGTACACTTTCTAGCGAATGCATAATCCTTGCTGTGTTAGGGTTCTTTTCATCCACAGCGTATTCTACTTATTTAGCTTCGTAAATAATTAAATTTTTATTCGAATTTCTCAGTATTTTCTACATCTAATTTCTACTACTTACTCTTTACTTCATCTTTTCGGGTGGAATACATTTACATGTTGGGAGGATCTTGCATTAGATAGTTCTCTAAAGCAATAGACCACCAGCTATCATATAAGCACGCAATGTAACATTGCTACGTTAAACGCGACACACAGAATTCCAAGCGGTGTTTGCATTTTTATATCTCTCACTAGGTGTGTTAATCTTTATGAGTCACGATAACAAAAATTATTCGCATTAAAAAGTTTATTGTTTTTTCTTCTCCAGGCATGTCTAGAACAAGAAGCGAGAGTTGTGGAGCTCCGCTCTTTAGCTGCAAGAGTGGCGGCAGAGACAGGCTCACGCGCCTTACCAGCGGATGCCGACGCTCTGGCCCGACGGCTGCAGTTAGTTACTGGAGCCGTACAAGCCTTGGCGGACCTTGGGGAAGCCCGGCAGGTGGCGAGGGCGAAAGCACAACATGCAAAAGACAAGTTATGTGATATGAGACAGGTTAGTGACGATCCTGAACCCTTCGGACTTATCAACGTCAACAGTTGTTTTTCAATTATGTTTCAACATAAGTACAAAGTCCTATTCAATCATTAGCGTAGAATACTGTTGGTTTTTTTTAACTGTTGCATTTGGCGCGGATCCACTACGATTTACGGATATAACGGAACAATAAAGATTGTTTACTATCATGAATGTATAATAGAAATAACGGTAGCTGAATTAATCTGCATCTATGTAGGTCCATTTTAGTACTGAAAAGTTGTAAAGTATAGTTTTATATAGCGTTTTAAAATTCAAAACTCAAAGATATAATCAAACCGTTTTCTTTCAACATACAATAATTTTAAGTAATAAAATACAGTTCATTGGCCTGCTGAATTAAAAGTCCCCATGTTTGTTACACTGTTTATGGTGGCAAATACATTGACCCCTATTTGTCTCGATTCACAAATTAGTACTGACTAGTTATGAACGATGGTAAATATTAAGTTTTATTTTCTATTACAGGACTTGGCTCCAGTACATGAGGACACTGAAATAGTCGAAGACAAACTAATTGCTCTTCGAGACAATTTAATAGCTTTAGGAAAAAGTGAAGCTGACATCGCGCCCGCTAAAGCTGAACTCCCCGATATTGACCGTGACGTTGCCGACGAGCACTCAATAGTCAGGATCTTAGAACTATGGCAGGCCATGTTCAGAGATACCTTCTTCCATTACCACCGATTGTCCACCGCTTTAATCAGGTCCGGGGATGCAGCGACAGCATTGAAATTGTGGCATGAATACTTGATAGATCTGCAGTCATTCTTGTCCGGTTCAGTACCAGCCGACTATGAGAATTTGACAGAACACCGCCGTTTGTGCAGGGTCCACAAAAGCTTGTTAACGTCACAGAGGTCTGTGCTCATGAACGAGAATAGAGAAACATCTAACCGAGACTTAGCTGACAAGTTCGACACGTTAACCAACCTTCACAACGAGACTTTGGCGAGAATAGTTGAAAGACATGACGAAGTTTGCACAAGGATCGCAGCGTGGGATGACTACAGAGAGATATACACGGAACTATTGAGGTGGCTAAAGGAAATGGAACGCGAGAAAGAAAAACTACAACTTAGATATGTACATATTAAGAGAATACACAAAATATTAGCTAAGATACAGAATCTCTCAGATAAGGTGCCTGAAGGCAGGAGGCAATCGGACAAACTTCTAGTCAATTTGAAAAAGGTCTTGGAATTCACCGAAGAGGCGTATGGAGCATCTGTAAGAATGGAATATGCCGGTATTGTAAAGAGGGTAGATAATTTACAAGCCAGTCTTGATACTTGGCGCGACTTTTTGACGAGGATACTTGGCCTGATAAATGAATATGAAAACTTGTCAAATGAGCTTCTTAAACTGTATACGAAGACACAAGAAGATATTAACTCTTATTCTGATGTTGAGAAGTTGTCACGACCACAGCTCAAGAAAGCCATTGAGAAGTATTCTGAACTCAGGACTAAGATAGTTAAAACTGAAACCCAGACAGAAACCCTCAGCGTTATACAAGAACAGCTTAAAGAATGCCTGAGTCCACAGGACATAAGACTTGTAAATCAAAGAGTATGGCAACTGCGACAGCAGGGAGCTGATTTAGAACATCAATTGTCAATTATTATCCACAGACTACAGGAAAGAATAGAAGTCTACACAATATTCGAGTCACGTTTGACACGATTTGTTGAATGGATAACAACACTGGAAACTCGTCTCGAAATTTCAAGTCAAAGTACTGAAATTGCTTCCATTGACCCTCAAGATCTTATTAGAAGAATCAACTCAGAAGTACAAGCTGAAACAGCAATGAAAGAGCGTGAATTTGAATGGCTCATAGAAACAGGCACTACTCTAGTCGAACAATCGAAGAAAGATGAAAAGTCTTTCAGCAAGAACAATTCCAAACAACTCAAAGATGTGCAAGAACGTTGGCATAGGTTACAAGAAACCGGCAGATCAAGAATTGCCAAGATTAACGAACTTTTGGAAACTATTTCTCAACTAGAAGAACGCTTGACAGAAATAAGACTAAAACTGCATTCGATTGAATCTAACCTCTCTGCCTCTGTCGTCCTAGAATTCTTGACTGTGAAATCTGTTGATGAGAAATTCAAAGATCGGGATGATATTCATAAGAACATAGAAAAAGAGAGTGGAGAAGTGGGAGAAACTCTCAATCTTTGCGATCTAATATTTAATGATCCTGAAGTTGTTCGCGGAAACTTTGATCTCCGGAATCTTCACACTGGCGTCGACATCATCGAAAAGAAATGGAAAAACATCTGTGACATGTCAGAAAAACGCAAGACAGCATTAAAAGAGGTTCGAAAATCAGCTGAACTCTCTGCTTCTCTTCTACCAAAGGTGGAGAAGAAGCTCGAAAATATTGAAAGGCGAGTGGAAAAGATCGAAACTAGGAAACGCCGTGGTGAACCTGAAGATGAAAGTGTAGCTCGGGCAGCTACAGATGACCTAGAAAACCTCAGTGCTGATATAAAACGCTTGGAAGATGCCTACAGTAGAATTGCTGCAAGTCGAGGCATTGAGCTACGTGGTACGGCTGCAGATGACGCGGCAAGGTTACGTAATGCTGTCAGGTATTGGCAGAGATTGTCTGCTCGTTTAGCAGCTGCAGGTGCTGATGCTCAGAGACAATTTGTTGGAGCCCATGGAGCTGCTGTAGTAGCGTTAGCTGAGACAGATGTGAGGCTGACAAGGGCACTGCATCTAGCCCCAGCACCACAAGATAAGCTCATTACACTCAATGAGTTAGATGTAAGTACTTAAAAACCTGTTTTCTCACGCTCATGTTAATAATGCTTTAAATTGCAAAACTTTTAAACTGTTTATTGAAAAATCTGACTTCTTTTTTCAGGCTATTGAACAAGAACTAATGGAATGTCAAGCATTAGTAGACAACGCAGACCGCCTAGCGATAGCTGTGTCTACTATGCCTGGAGTATCAGACATGGTAGCCGAGTACCGTGTCTTGTTCGCTGACGTTAGGACAAGATTAGACCTGGCAAGAGCAGAAGTCATTGGGGATGTTGATTCTGCTGTACAGGTAAGTCAAATAAAGTTAATTTATACAGTATCTTTCATGTTAAATATCAATAGAAATTTGAGGAAATTATTTATAAAATTAAACTTTTAAAATGCAATATTTTTGTATAATACACAGGTCGATACCCTAAAGTGGGAGACAGATGCTGCTCTCCAAGTAGATACACTAACGTCCAAAGAAACCTACAGGGCTGAACTCGCATTAGCTGTTAAACAAACTTCAGAAGCCTTAGAAGCTCTTAGAATAGCCCTTGAGACACAACCTGATGAAAAAGCGGGCAGTGACGCGTTAGCTACAGCTGCGAAAGAAATTGCCAAAGCTGGTTCCAAACCTGGACAGACATTAGAATTGGCTAAACATTTGTCGGAGCTTCTCTTGACTGAATGTGACGCGAATGAAGAAGAAGCAATGTTAAAGGACGTAGGATCTCTATCTTTGACTTACGAAGATCTTCTCAACCAAGCGAAGAAACGAGAACTGCAAATCAACAATTTAAGGTGAGTGGCCAATGTTGCATAGAATTGTAGACTTTATTGTTCTATAATGATGTGTGATTTTGGCGTATGGTGAAATACAATTTTATTTAATGATTTCAGTGGACATTTCATGTAAATAACGTTTAATGGCAGGGCTTTGTAGTTATTTATTATTTTTCTGTCGCTGTTATTATTGTTTTACAATGTCTTCGTACGAATACGAGATAGCTGGGAATAGTATATTCGTTTATTAAGTTTTACAGCTGGAGTATTTTAAGTGTAAAACTTTGAACTATTTTTAAGCTTTAGTTGTGTTTTAGTAATTTCTATTTTCTCCACTCCACTATTAGTATCTGTATAGATTTTTGTGAGTTGTTTATATGAAGTGTCCTCGTATGAAGTCTTTAATGTTGTTCTTCTATTATTTGTGGTAGCACTTATAGCACTGTTTGGCAACTGGTGTTGGGGCTTAAAGCTGTTAAAAAACAGTGTTTTTGTCGGTAATATACAGTCACGCAGTCATATATCTAGTGAAATTATATGTAAAAACTTAGAATCTTAAAATTTTTAGACTAGTATTGTGTGGCTGACTGTGCTATTATTTGAAAATAAGATATACTGAACCGATTTAAGATCCTTTTTGAAAAGATATAGAGTCATTTTTTCTAAATATGACAGTTTCGTATTGTACAAAGACTAAGTGACAACACAGAAACGCCATACTGTTCTAATTAAAGTTTTAGAAGAACCAAAAGTAATATTAAAAAAGAATTATTCAAAAAGTATTCCAATGGGTACAAACCACATGTTCTGTTTTAATTGGCGTAACTTTCCACTTAGTCTAGAAGAGAATATATCAGCTTCCTAACCCGGCATGCTCTAAACACATGCATTTTCTGGTCCCATAGGTTGCCCCACTCGGCCTTGTACGCGCTCACGTGCGAACAGTGAGTACTGCTTCTCTAATATATTTAATTTTATAGTCGTAGACTTCTTGCTACATTCATTGCTTACATTTTGTTATTGACAATAAAAATATAAAATTCCTTTCCCAAATTTGAATACAGTCGTAGTTTTGATTGATACCTACTTGCTTATAAAACAAAATAATGTGTCGACGAGTAGTTTAACACTTTGTTAAATTACTTAACTTACAAACTTAAGTATTTTTTTCACTGATAAGTTATAAGTAATATTCATATATTCAAACTAATATATTTTAAAAGACGCTTAATAATTTAATGTAGCAAGAAAATAGACGATTATGCATGCGTTAATCCAAACGTAGTTAGTGCATTTTGTTTTGACGATAGAAGTAATAAAGAAATAAAAAGACACTTTTATGTTGTGTTTCTTCACTGCACTCGTACACGATTTTTTTTTATTTTTAGCTTCGTATGTGGGGAGTTACATTAATGTCGTATCTGTCTTAAATATATTTGTGTAATAACATTATTGTGTAGTATTAATATGCTGTAGTTTAATGGGTATTTGTTTTTGCATTCTTAACATGACATAAGTTATTAATTTTTAAATATTTCGTTGCTTAAGTAGTAAGTCTATTGAGAAACAGTATGAAATGTTTTTTATTTATTTCATGTTAACAGTTTGATAAGAGAATAGTAGATGTAGTTACTTATTATCGTGTGTTAAATTATTTAGATGATTAAACGTTTTATTGTTATACAATTTGGTATTTTCTCTATTAAGTTTATCATAACTTTTGCTATAGTGAATCGGGCCGCTTGACGTGTCCGTTATGCTCGGAGCGCAACTGGAAGCAACTGGACAACGATCTATGGCGCCTCGAGCAGTGGCTACAGTTCGCCGAGGCCACCGACGACGCCAGGACCGGCCCACCCGAACAGTACGACGCGCTCGAGGACGTCATACAGGTATTTTTTGATTATCAATAATACGCTTTCGTCAATTCTTTAAGGGACACGGGAGCGTATGAACGAATTTAGATTTTCTTTTTATCGATATTATAAAATTCACGTTTTCGTAAATCGAACAGGACCACCGCGAATTCCTTCTCGACTTGGACTCTCACAAATCGATCGTCGTGTCGCTGAACGTGGTGGGCGCCCACGTGGCGGCGCACGCGCGCTCGGCCGGCGCCGCCGACGGCGTGCGCGCGCGCCTCGCCGCCGCCAACGCGCGCTGGGACGGCGCCTGCGCGCGCGCACACGCCTGGCAGCGCACGCTGCAGCACGCGCTGCTCCACAACCGGCAGTTCCACGACGCCGTCGTCGAGCTCGTCGCGCGCCTCGCGGCCGCCGAGCGCGCCGTGCGTGCGCGCGAGCCGCTGCGCCTGGGCCGCGCGCCCGACGAGCTGCAGCGCGACTTCCGCCGCTTCGCCGAGCTCAGGGACGAGCTGCGGCGCGCCGAGCCGCGCGTGCTGGCGCTGCACGACGCCGCGGCGCTGCTGGCGCCCGGCGCCGCGCCGCACGCGCGCCTGGCCGAGCTGCGCCTGCGCCTGCAGTCGCTGCGCAAGCTGTGCGCGGTGTACGCCCTGAAGCTGGGCGCGGCACTGGCGCGCCGCCCGGCCTCCGCCTCGCACGCGCTCGCCGCCGCCGCTGCCCTCGCTGCGCCGCAGGTGAGAACAGTAGTTGGTTCCTCGAACACGTCTAGAAAGGTCCCTAATTCGAATTAAACGAAAGGAACGTGTCGTCCTAGAGTCTCGAGTTGGGTGCTCAAAGATAATTCGTAAACTACAGTATTGATAGTAAAATACATAATTTATTTTGCGTCACCTCACCGCTTCACCCCGCAGAGCGCACTGTATGAGCAGATATTTGAAACGAACACGACGCAAGCTAAGTTTTATTATTGCGACCTGTAAATTTACAGGGAAATACCTACTGACCCCTCTATAGGTAATTAGTCACGTTAGATATTAAAGATATATTAATATAAGGGGTATTTTTAAATCAGTATGCGAACACTTCATACATCTCTCGATCGAACAAACGTAATTTTATTATTTTAAAATATATCAAATGTTGATATCAATAAATTGTCAACATTATATTATTGTTACGTTGTCAAATGCGAGAGCAAGAAAGTGATGCAGTGTTTGCATACGAGGGGTCCCCCTCCCCCTCATCCACCACCACAACGTAGCAGCTTCGCACCGTTGACGTATTTTGATATTGTCGTAGCTAATGGAGGAGGACGAGGACGATCTGTCGGGCTTGCAGCTGCCGCCGATTGACGAGTCTGAGTGAGTACTCGCTTTTTTTAGTTGTGGTTATACACTTTTGAAATGAATAGCTTAAAACATAAAAAAATATCATATTTTCTTTCTTATAGATTTTCTTCTCAAAAGTGTACAACAACTGCATTCAATATGTAATTGCTTTGAAAGCCTAATACTTTATTTTGCCTCTCGTAACATTTCTTGTGAATTTTATTTTAATTATTCTATTTCTATGTTAGGGAGCGTCCATTAATAACGTGAGGGGTTACAAACAATTTTCTGACCCCCTCTCCCCCTCTGGTGAGATGTTGTGAGATTTGATTCAACCCCAATGTGTTTTCAGTGTAAAGGCGGATTTATTCTAAAGAAAAAAAAATTGCTTAGTATTTTTATTTAAGACTAGTTGAGACTAGTATTTAGGATTGCTTCGAAAGTAGGCATACAATAACATATTATTTTTACTTAATTTAACCCCGTTTTACTCTGTTTCTTGCGGATAAAAAATTACGTGATATTTGTCTCGACCCCCTCTCAACCCCCTCTCCGCAAAGTAAGATTAGATGAGATTCAGTTCGAACCCCTCCCCCTTGAACCCCTCACGTAATTAATGGAAGCCCTCTTAATGTCTCTAAAAAGGTTCAACTTCTTTTCACTTACTTGATTCTATATTGTTCATACCTTTAAGTTAGTGACGTTTCGACCAGCTTGCACTGGCCGTGGTCGCCACTTACTTAATGCTAATCTGGAGCGCCTTTATTCCCGTATACATAATTGTATCAAATATTTCCCTTAATATGCCTTTATTAAGGGAAATATTTTACTATTTTCTTTACTGTATTATGTTATTCTTGCTGTCAAACCATTAGATTGTTCTTGCTATCTATTTCAATTCGGCTATTTGTCTCGTATTTTAACCAATTCACTATGCTTCTCTTCGTGGTTTCTTTGTATATATTTATATTATGTATATGTTAACAAAAACAATTATTTAAGTACGTATGTTTATCCGTGATTGGCCATCGCGGCATCTTACAAAATATATATTGTCGCAGATAATTATTATAATTAAGTGGAGAAACCGTCTGTTTAAATATTCCTGATTCCTGAGTAAAGTCCTCTGCCCCTCAATATTAACGTAACCGTGTGTTGAACAGAATGGTGGGTAGTGGTGAGCCGGTGGAGGAGCAGCTCAGCGGCGTGCAGCGCGGCCTCAGGTTCGTGTGCAGAGTCGCCAGGGCTTCGCTCCCCTTCCAGGTAACATACAGCAACATTTTCCATCATAAACTATGCTCACGCACTACAAACGTAGATATTATTTCTGTGTGGTACAAATAGTACTATAAGTTATACCTACACATATAATTTATTACTAAGTCAATTTCTGAAACCATCCAATATATTACAAACAAATGTAACATAATTTTATTTGTTGGCAGGCGCTACTCCTTCTCCTACTAGGTGCTGCAGCCCTCGCTCCTCACGCACAGCAGGACTGTAACTCCAGGCCCCTCTCCCTGGAGCCAGTGCTGCGTTACCCGCACGGCCCCCCGCCGCTCTGAGACGGCCCTCACAAGCGAACCTAGCTAATACTCCTCCCGAACGACCATTTCTTGCCCTCCCAAAGAGAGGTGGTCGTTTGGGAAATAGCAGCGGGAAAATTTAAAAATTTCATTTCGTGGGGTCGTAACAAGATTTTTCGGGGGTGAAAACAAACTCCCATGTTAAATACTTGTACACTCTAGAGGAGTTAAGCCAAATTTCTCGAAATACGTTTTGGAGGTGATCATTTAGAATCTAGGGGGTGTTAAAAATATACTGTATTTAAGCCCCGTTATATCTCACATTATAAACACATTCCACGTAGTCCGGCCTGTACATACAACTTTTTGTATATTTGTTACCGAAATTCTCCGGACGACGATATTTATTGTATTTAAATGATAACGCCGAATAAATAAAAAGGCTTTCGAATCGCATCCACGCTCGCATTGTTACTTAATATTAGATGATAAGGACTGTTAACAAAAGTCAAAAATAAAGCCTTTGCTATTGATTATAATGTTTGTTTTATTTACACCTTGTAAACTACGAACCTATGTGAGTAATAAACAAAATTGCGCTTCCTTAATTATTATAAAGTAAGTACCTACATTCAAACTACAGTGTTCGAACCACAATAAACACGTTTTATCTACAGTTACGAGTCAATTCGTCAAGTCTTTCAATCAACAGTATCACTGGTCACTCGAAGGTTTAACAGTTTCTAATGCAGAGCAGCCGTTGAGCTCTGACGACGCTCTCTGGAACAAAACTATAATGTTAATTTTCAAGAGCAAGACGTTGTATAGTTATTACTTATAACGTTACGAAAAACAGCCGTTAATTTATTATTAAAAACGGGGAAAATGGGTATTAATTCATTAAAAGGAGACGGTGATGTGCCAGAGACATATGGCATTGTATCGCAATGTAAATTTTTAAGAGTTAGTGGGGTTTCTGAATGCCAATATTCGCGAAGTCCTGGCGCAGCAAATAGTGTCCTGGATATAGTCATAACCGTCACATCTTATTGTTGAGTTGTAGCAGACATGTTTTAGTTTAGCTGTAACTGGGAGGAGGGTTATTATTTTGTATTTTGGACTCATGGCAAGTTTTAATCTAATTGCCTATTTGAAATCGCACAAGTAAGACCCAGGTCAGAAAGGGTCATGAATAACATTATTTTTTCTCTAGATTCATTCTTAATGTTGTGTGTATCGTAAGACAATCATAGGCAGATGAAACTGCAGCAAGTCCAATATCATGCTATAGTTCCATTGAGGAGTTTGACAAAACAGAGATTGTTGCTATTGTGTGTGTTGATCTATGACTTGACATTACTTTACGTTTGAGACGATTACAAACAATTTTCAAAATTTATAAAATAAAGAGAATTCCTCATATCGGTAAAATTGGTGAAGTGTTTCGGATAACAAATAAGATGTTGATATTTTATGGTAATACAGGTAAGAATGAATGGTGGGCTGGTGATATAGAAGTAGCGTACCAGGAGAGGCAGGCGCAGGCGCGGCGCGTGCGCACCGTGCGGCGCCGCGCGCGCGCCGCCCAGCCCGGCACCGCCGCGCCGCGCGCACGCGCACACATGCGCTCGTACGAACCAAAGTCCGACGAACTAGGCGCCTACGGACAATTCACTCCTTTTAGACCTCTCTATGTGAAACTTACTCACTGAAAGTTATTATTAGCACTCAGATTGAATGATAAGTACATATGTGCCTTTAATAGTCCACCGCTGGACATAGGCCTCTCCTTAGAAAGGAGGTTTTGACCTACTATACCACACTGGCCAGACGGGTTGGTATAGGGTTTGTCTCAAGTTTTCCTTCTCTTTGCAGTGCTGTTGTCCTACGTAGTTTGCTTCCTTAGTCGGCTCTTACGACACCCACGGGATGAACAGGAGTGGTGACACTGCGTACTTTTAATCCGTCACCACGCGGACAAATAAAAATGTAATATTTTTACCATATGTCAAAATATTACTTTTATATATTTATTAGCCCCAAAATTCATCAAACTAAGTCCTAACACAAAAATAGTAATAGTACCTTAAGAAACACATTAGTAATAATAAAATATTTTCAACATGCCACAAAATTACTATTTATTTACGTATTAAAACACTTGACCGTCACTGGAAGCTTTATTATGAGATGGCATTTCCGTTTCCAGCCGATTTCTTACCAGTTTTCGTACTTTTATCCCCTTTATACTTCCGGCTCAGTGGCGCCACCTGGTGGTTGCGAGTAGTTTTTAGTTTTCGTAAAAAGTATCACGCCATTCTTGTTCATTGGCTTTTTGTTCTCCGTCGAAGCAACTTGTACGCAGTAGTGGTGCATCCGCGACAGTTGCATAATTCTTATTTTTAAATTAAGTAAAAATTTGTGTTAAGTGTTCTTCAAAGCGGATACGTCTTGAACCGTAAGTACCCTCTTTTAGAGGTAACATTTTTTATGAACAGAAAGAACTTTTACTTTTAAATATTTACCAGTAAATTTTCATAATCAATGTTTAAATTATAACTGTGCTGTTTAAAGTGTTATAAATACACTGCAAACGTAATTCGTTTGCAGTGATGGAGGGTAATAATCACAACTCCAATACCCAGCCCCAGGCTGTGTCTGGTCTGAGTGGACTGAATCGCAAACGAGATCGAAGTAGCAGCAGCAGCAGTAGTGCTACAAGTGTTAGTTCTTCAAGTACGTCTACTTTGGGCAGCAAACAAGCGCGATCCAAAAACCGCCGCCGCCGCCATAAGAAAAGGAGACGTTCTCGACGTTCCAGTCAGATGGACAAGCTTTTTAAGGAAATCACTGAGCTTCGCAAACTAATTAATACTACAAGTAACATTGATACAGCTTGTTATGATAACGCTTCTGTTTGTTCCGCAATTAGTGGTCAACTTTATGAACAAATTAGTGACGAGGATTGTTCAAATCAAGAACATCAAAATACAAGTTTAGATTTCACCTTTGACATTGAGACTAAGCTTAAAGAACCATTAGTTCCAAAAACCCCCGATAGTTTTTTGAAGAAGTTGGTAGATATCCAGCGTTTTGGTAGTACTTCTTGGTCAGAAGTAAGATACGCCGATACGCAAAAATTATATAATCATAGTCCTGGCTTTATAGACCTGGAAACAAATGAGGAGGTAAAAGCATATGACACCTTACGTCATCTGGCACATGCTGACAAATCGTACGCAGCCTTAACCTACTGCATATTAAAACAGAGACAATCATTGCAGGAAGGTATTCGTGATCTTCTTTCATGGGCAAAAAATTCAGAATGTATCAATTTTGACAATTTAAATGGGAAGATTGACGAATTATTTCAAAAGGGCGAATTTCATAAAATATCCTCAGACCTTTTGCAATTAGCATGCGGCCATAGAGCTGAAAGTATTGAAATGCGTAGAGAAACTATTACGAGTCAAGTTAGAGATCCTCTACTGAAAGCATTCCTGAACAAAATACCTCCTTCAAGTACTTACATATTTAATGCTGAGCCCTTTACCTCTAGAGAAGGCTGGCGGGGTCCGTAAGGCTTTTTGGCCTCCTAAAACTGAAAGATTCTCTCAAAGGCCTTACCAACCTAGTAGCCGCCCCTCGCGGGGGCAAGGCGCACGAAAACCGACAGTTCCATCGCGTGGGACTCAATCTAACGAACCAGGATCGCATGTGCGTACCGGTCATAACCCACCCTCGCGGGGTGAGTACCATGGTCAGTGCCAACATACACATTACTCTCCCAGAGGTAACTCTTCAAGTCAATGTGATCACTTCAATACTAGAAGTTCATTTCGCAACCGAGGCTCGCGGCCCGAACGTGGAAGTACACGAGGACGTGCAAACTCCTCAAAAACTTACAGGGGAAAAAGGTATAAGCAATGACAAGACACCGTTTCGGGCGGGTCGGTTGATACACTACCAATCACAATGGGCGGAAATGGGAGCAACAGAAATAGTTCTAAAAATAATTCAAGGGTATCGCATACCTTTCTTTCAAAAGCCTCCACTGGTCTATCCAGATGTAACGAAGGGGCCTTTTCAAACTCCCGTTTCAGAACAAATGTCCTTAATTGTAGACAAAATGAAACGGCAGGGAATTCTAAGGAAAGCGCTACCCTCGCCAAGCTTTATTTCCCCTCTATTTCTGGTTCCAAAATCCGACGGATCTGCCCGTCCCATATTCAATCTGAAATCTCTAAACGAATATGTGAGGACCGAACCGTTTCATTTAATAAACATGTACCGCATTCCGGACTTACTGCAATCTCAGGACTGGATGTGCAAAATAGATGTGTCCCAAGCATATTTTCATGTAAGAGTAAACAAATCGCACAGATGCTTTCTGCGCCTAATATACAACCAGGAGTTGCTAGAAATGACTTGTCTTCCATTCGGTCTGAGCACTGCTCCAAAAACCTTTTCCATGCTCACGAACTGGGTGGCCCAAACATTACGGGAAAAATGGAACATGAGAATCCTGGTATACCTGGACGATTATTTGCTAGTACACCAGAATGTTCACATGCTTCGCGAGCATGTCAAAATAACTGTACAGACATTACAAAAACTGGGGTGGCAAATGAATTTCGAAAAATCTGTTCTGTCTCCTCAAAAGAGTATAATTTATTTAGGGATACTATGGAAACCATGGGAAAATCAAAAAACCCTACCAAAAGAAAAAGCTCAGGGCATCATCACAAAGATAAATCAGGCTCTCGAACAAGAGCAGTTAACCTTGAAGGAGTTGCAGAAAATCCTCTAAAACTCCTAAAACTCCTACACTACAATCGACTCATGCTAAATCAGCATTTTGATGCTCGGGAGCACGCTAGACGGCGTCGTCGCGGGCTTATCAACGGTATCGGTTACGTAGCCAACAGCCTGTTCGGAGTATTAGATGAACGATTCGCCGAACAGTACAAGTCCGATATACAACTTGTGAAACGTAAGGAGCAGCATCTTGCTAACTTGATAAAAAATCACCATGCCAAGATATATGGCTGGAATTAAATGAGCCTTCTCGGTACTTTTATTTTTGCTGTAATTCCTATACATTGAGAATTATATGTCAAGATCAAGTTACATTTAAACAGGTGACTGGAGCTGGCATTATTGACCTAGAGTCTAAATGCATAATAAAAAGTAAAGATTTTACTTTATATTCTCATGCAAACTTGGCTAATACTATTAAATCTAGCTCTAAGATTAATACGCCACAGATAGCCGAGATAAATCACATAGTGAATATATCGTTGTCTCACTATAAAGAGTACAAAGATCCGCTGAACAATACTTTAGCTTCTCTTGGAAAAAGAATAGAACAGTTGAAATCTGCCAATACATACTCCCCTGATGACACTCTATCTACACATGACATTCACCAGTATACACTCTGCTACAGCTTGCTGGGTATAGCGGTTATAGCAATAGCGTACTTTTTATGGAGGAGGAGACGTGCAGCATCTTCAGTGGTAGTGTCAAATAGTGTTGCCAATAGTGTAGTGTATTCGCGAAAGCAGAGCACGGTTGACCGTCAGCCTAGTGAAGTGATTATAAGTGCGAACACTGTTAGTAAACGGGATAAAGAAGGTATCCGGCTCGAAGGACCATGTAGAAGTTACGTTAGATAATGATACGGTTGTTTAACTAATGAAATAAATTTATTATACGGACCACAGGTAAGAAAATATAAAGGAGCGAGGGAGCACACGCGATGACCGCTAATCGTGTACTGTCGGTGTAATTATGATTTATAAGTAAAGTAAGCAAATTGCTGAGGTAACATTATTGTTCGGTGTCACCGTACAAGTAGGTCTTCTAAATTTTGCCAGTTTTGTTGTTCCACGGGGTCGGCTGAATCATCGACAGTTATTAATCTTAATGAATTCGCTGCCAGTCCTGCCATCAAAGTCCTACCCACTACCACAAGGTGTCTTAGAGGAACTAAACTGGTGGGCCCAAAATTGTCAAAAGTCAACACCTCTTCAGTACCCTCCTCCAATAAATTTTCTGACTACAGACGCGTCGGATCAAGCGTGGGGGGCACAACTGAACAATTTGGCTCTGTCAGGAACTTGGTCGCAAGAAGAGAAAACGCTGCATTGCAATCGAAAAGAAATGCTAGCAATATTATACGCTCTTCAGACCCAAGTTCATTGGCTCCAGCAAAGTTCGCTCCTCATTCAAAGCGACAACAGAACAGCGGTCGCCTACCTGCGAAAGGAAGGAGGTACGAGGACATTAGCCCTGTTGGAAATAACCTATCGAATTCTGAATTTGTTAGACCAACATCAGATACATTTCAACATACACTACATTCCGGGCAAATACAACAATCATGCGGACCACTTATCGCGCCTTCGCCAACCTCCAGAATGGCACTTACTAGCGACCTGTGTAGACATAGTGTTTGCAAAATGGGGAACCCCAGTAATAGATCTATTTGCCTCGGAGACTGCTTATGTAGTACACAATTATGTATCTCTAGATCTAAGAGATCCTCAAGCTCTATTCCACGATGCCTTCAGTGTCCCTTGGAATTACCAGCTCGCATGGATATTTCCACCACCATTCCTAGTCCCCAAAGTCCTGTCCCACTTAAACCAGTCGACAGGAGTATTCCTCATAGTAGTACCTCGATGGGAGAGAGTGTTCTGGCGTGCGGATCTCAAAGCTCGAGCGCTCGCGGCCCCATTAACGTTCAGAAACCTGCAGAGATACCTAATAGACACGTCGACGGGACTCCCACCACCGAAGGTCGAGAACATTGTCCTCGAAGTTTGGAAATGTGGGGGTGGTCCGACGCGATAAAAACGTGGAACGCGCAACAACTTTCACTGCTTAAAAATTCTTGGCGAAAATCGACTCTAAAAACCTACGAGGTAGCCTGGAAGCGCTGGATGTCGTGGTGCCGTAATAAAAACCTTGATTTAAAGAATCCCTCTGGTTCACAATTAGCGCAGTTTTTATGTGATTTATATTTAAATGATAAGTTATCGTATAATTCAATACTTTTACATAAATCGGTAATATCTACACTATGTAACGCTGAAACTTCAAGTCAGTTAAGTTCACACGTTCTAGTAAGACATGTTTTAAAATCAATTGGCCTAAAGAATCCAAAGGTAACTAAGCCTCCAGTTTGGGACGTTGATAAATTAATTTCATTTTTGACTAATTACACAATTGATTCAAATAACCTATTTCAAACGTCACGTCATACTGCAATTTTATTGTTACTTTGCTCTGGTAGGCGAATACACGATCTTACTCTACTTAATATTGATTCTAATCATTGCATACGATCTGATAACAGTATAATATTTTGGCCTCGGTTTGGCTCCAAAACTGACGGTAGTAATTACAGGCAGTCCGGCTGGAAATTGCTTTTAAATACCGATAGTTCTAACCTTGACCCTATATTCTGGATAGAAAGAACTATAGCATTATTAAACGACAGACGTAATGCGGCAAAATCAACTAATTTGTTTATTACGTTAAGAGGTGTGGCTAAACCTGCTTCACGTACAGTCATTGCAGGGTGGGTAAAGACCCTGTTTGGGGAAGCTGGCATTGCAGCCACTCCAGGTAGCACCCGGTCTGCTGTAGCCTCCAAAAGCTGGTTTCAAAATTATCCCCTCGACGAAATTTTGGCTCGTGGAAATTGGCGATCAGCTAATACATTCCAACAGTTTTATAGACGAGAAATAATGAGAAGTACTGATTCACGAAACGTCACACAATTTTTCAATCCAATTGATTAAAATTGCTGAATAAACATTTTGAATATTTAGGTTACCTAGAATGAATATATTCTTATATTCTATTTTATATTCTAAAGTACACTTACTTATGTACTCATTGAATTGCTGTATAAGTACATTTATTTAAATATATGCATAATTATTAATCACTCTTGTGTTTAATTTCATGCTTTATCACATTGGCCTTTACTATAACACTACATACTTCCAAGTATATACATCTAAGTGGCGTCACCAGGCGATAACAAACAGATCTCGTAATAAAGCTTCCAGTGACGGTCAAGTGTTTTAATAGCAGCGTTTTACCTGAAATAAAACGCATATTAAAATACTTACCTCACTGGAAGCTTTCACTTTATTTCTGCCTGGTGTTATAAGACAATCAACAAAAATGGCGTGATACTTTTTACGAAAACTAAAAACTACTCGCAACCACCAGGTGGCGCCACTGAGCCGGAAGTATAAAGGGGATAAAAGTACGAAAACTGGTAAGAAATCGGCGGGAAACGGAAATGCCATCTCATAATAAAGCTTCCAGTGAGGTAAGTATTTTAATATGCGTTTTATTTCAGGTAAAACGCTGCTATTAAATAATAGGATGCAGATGTAGAGTAGGTACACAAAAGTAATTTACACCTTTGTTAAACTAAATCAGAAAAATAGTGAATTTTCGGTTGAAAATAGTGAATTGTATTAATGCGTAGTTTTATTGACATCAGCTGTATAAACAAATACAATATGAATACAGCCATAATCATAATACATAAGTAAGTGTACTTTTCCGTTCCGTTATCCGTGTGGTGACGGATTAAGAATACGGAGTGTCACCACCCCTATTAGGGACCCCGACTAAGGGAGCTAACGTAGGACAACCAGCACCGCAAAGAGAAGGAAAACTTGACACAAACCCTATACCAACCCGTCTGTCCAGCGTGGTATAGTAGGCCACCTCCTTTCTAAGGAGAGGCCTATGTCCAGCAGTGGACTATTAAAGGCTGTTGATGAAGTGTACTTTTCAAACTCACGTCACAATTCACTGCTCTTGACAAAAAGTGCGTTAGCGGCTCTTGATATGGGATTATGGTCTTTTCTTTAAGGTTTGGAGATTGCATCGGTCAGTAGTACCGCAGTCATTACAATGACGAATACTTATAAAAACTTAATCTTAAGAAATTATATATTTAATTAAAGCTGCAGTCATGATCGGTTACTTAACACTTATTGTAAGTTATTTTTGAGTGTCTATTGAAGACTGAACGAGACAAACGATAAAGTTGTGGTGCAAACATAAACAAATATAAGCATGATAAAATGGTACGACAATGTAGGGCTTGCGTTATAAAATGGTATTTGACGCAAAAATAATTTCTGGTTTTGGTTAAAATCTTTTTAGATATTTTAGTGGAAATGCTGCTTTAAAAATTGTTGATTGAGCAGTTAAAATGTGATAGCCGTGATGTAGCTACCTGTTCCAGGCCCAGGTGGGTGTCGGGCGGCAGGTCCCCGAAGAGCACGGCGCGGCCCTCTCCCTCGCACGCGCCGCGCAGCACGGCGCCGCGCGCGCTCGTGCGCAGCAGCTGCGTCAGCACCACTATGAGCATCTGTCGAACACACGCACTGACTCACCGACTACTGTACCATTAGTCGACTTGCCTATTCAATATTTGGGTTGTAATTATTGTAAGAAAGCATTAATATAGACTACTTTCAATTTCAGGAACATATGTAAATGGAAAAAAAAAAATTATGTGAATAATCACATAATTTTTTTTTTTAAATGTTAAGTGTCGATAACGACACTTAACATTTTATTCGACGACTAATATCGATGCAGCAGGCCCCTTTTACCTTTGGTAAAGCTTTCGAGTCCGAAAATGATCTCACATCTGCCGAATATATACGCTAATAGGGATAACCATATCCAATACCTTTACGGTAATACTTTACTTGGTCCTTTAATACATACATATTAAAAGGTCGGAATAATATCGAGAGGTGAGAAGAGCGAATGGTGTGAACACCTGGAAGAGGAAGACGAGCATGTTGAAGCACTGCAGCGCGAGCAGAGCGCGCGTGAGCGGCGCGCGCACGGCCTCCACGCAGCCGCGCGTGTGCAGCGACGCCGACAGCAGCGGCGACTCCTCCGACCACACCTCGCGCCACTCCGACTGCCGCCAACCACCACCACATTACTTTAAATTCACACTATTTACACCTTCAATGTTTTAATAATGCATAGATTTTGAAACACTATCTTGCTATCTAAATAATAATATTTTGAAATAAAAGAGTTCATTTGTCTCTATCTGACTTTACCTTTAGATCTAAGAAACCGATGTGGAGAGTGTTTAGCATTAATGAGGAGTGAACAGATTTAAGACACAAATATAAACTTTCTAACTACTAACTTCATCAACAGCCCTGAATAGGAAACTGCTGGACATAGGCCTCTCCTTAGAAAGGAGGTTTTGGGCTACAATACCACGCTGGCCAGACGGGTTGGTATAAGGTTTGTGTCAAGTTTTCCTTCTTTGCAGTGCTGGTGTCCTGCGTTGTTTTGCGCCCTTAGTCGGCTCTTATGACACCCACGGGATGAACTGGGGTAGTGACATTCCGTATTCTTAATCCGTCACTACACGGACAACTTACTACTACTAACTTACAGTCACCAAGAGATCTCTGAGGTTTCCATTTCCCTTACTCCAAAATTTAACTTAGCACATTGTCAAGTCTAATAAATTTACATTCCCAAAACAAATTGTCATTTAGCAGACAGTCGTCAATTAAAAACAACCAACCAAAATCTCTAAATTAAATAAGCAAATAGACAGGAAAGTTTTATAATAAAAAAAAAAGCCGTGTGGTGTCGTGGGACACCCGATAGGAACGAAGTTGTGACGATCGAGTAAAACTGATTCGACACGATTTTAATTACAACGCCATCTATGAAAGCGGCTATTACCTACATATTTGTCAGTTGGTTTCTAATTAAAACAATTTATACATTGGTAAAATCTCCTTGAGAAATGATGTCGAATACAATATTTTTTGCTCAACCTAAGAACATAAATTTTAATTTTACTGAGATGAAAAGTAATGATTTCCTATCTATTCGATAGATGGCGCTGAATGACAGACAAGTGACAATTCAAAATAAAAAGTGTCGTCACAACTTTTCGTGAGAATTTTTTCCGTCTAGCCCCCTTTCACAACGCGCGATAAGGAACTTCGTTCCAATAAATTTTAAATATTTTTGCTACATTTTTCATTGATGCTCCGCTGTTATTGATCGTAGCATGTTGTTACATAGGCTTTAACATTCCTCGATAAATCAGCAATACGACACTAAAATATTTTTTCAATTAGAACCAGTAGTTCCTGAGACTAACGCGTTCAACCAAAGAAAAATTTTGGCTTTATAATACTAGTATAGATAATACAGAAAAATCTGTAAACCTGTTGCAATGGATCGTGGTAGCAGGGCGCCATTACACGAGGAGTGCAGCAAGAGTACGGTGACACGGGAGGTAGAACTTTACCATCGGTACCCGCCAGTCTGCAAAGAATAAATAATAATTATATTTTCTGTTAGTCGTGAAACGCTACCGATAATTCTATCTTTTTAGGGTGACACCATAATTTTCCCACACAGGGAGGGGTCGTCTACTCGTCTGTAGATGGCCCGAGCTATGTCGGGGCACCAGGGACTTCCTTTCTAGGGTATACCTGGTTCCCCGGCTATTAGCACCCGAGACGGAGTGCGGTTTTAGTCGGTTCGAGTCCGACATGCCACCTATAGGTGGTATCCGAGGGGATTTCCTCACGGGAAAAAAAAAGGGGTGACACCATAATTGTGTTATTAAAAGTTTCTTATCGTAAAGGGAGCAAAGGAGCAGACGGGTCACCACTGCCGACGATGGATACCTACAACTCCAGAGGCAATGTGTGTTTGAGCCAGCTCCTCCCCACCTCCACCTGAAGGGGTCAGAGGGTTACGGTAACCTCCTTAGCTCGGTAAAAAGCAACAAAGGAAGGCTTAATACTGGTTTTCTGTGAGGCCGTGGTATCACATCGGTTGAGCAGACCCATTTGTGCCGGAACATAGTTTGCCCACACAAAGTTCTTTGGCCAATACGTATAAATGAATAAGATTAGAAAATATAGGTAGATTTTGTTATGAAGAAATGAGGCTCTCAGTAAATGTAGGTGTATTATTCTTAACAGTCTTTTTTTAAGGTCGCCATATTTAAGTCTGTCCTGTTTATTTATATAATAATATAATGTTGTTGAATGTCGCTTACTTCATGACGAGGTTAGAACTCTCGTTCAGAAAATCCATATTGATCCAAGGTATCTCGTGCCAATCTGATGGCAAGTCTGCGCCACAACAGCTTAGTTCTACCTGAGGAGTAACAAAAAGTTAGGAGTTATGAGGTTAGTGAGGAGAAAAAATTATGTGCTCAGTGGACGTCAATAAGCAAACCACCTATTAAGAGACTTATATTATAGTTGGCAAAGTGTGATAAAAGACATGAGTATACAATGTAAAAACAAACGGGCAATTCCATCAACATCTTAGCAATTCTCCAATTCGATTTGTTAGTTTAAGAACTATGAATTTTCTAAAATTATGAGCTGTGTTTACGGGGTCTACTAGTCTAAATATCACCACTAAATGAGAACCACAGAAGTGTCTGATGAGCTTAAAAAGATCTCTATTCTATAGCACTTATTAGATAGATACTTTTTATACTTATTAGAGGTACTCTTTATTGTACACCATAATTAGGATACATGCGATGATCCATACAAAAAAAACAGTGATACAATGGGCGGCCTTATCGCAGTCTGCGATCTCTTCCAGGCAACCTTTAGATGGACTATACTATAAAGTATTATGTAGCGTGTGGCGCGAATTTACAACTTCCGTATATTAACGAATGTTTACATACATAATTACACATACACGAATATACATTGATAAACTTACATACATGTATACATATGAATACATACATAAACATACATACACATACCAATATAGCACATAGTTATTACAGAGATAAATAGTGATCCTTAACGAGTTCTTTAAAAGTACCTATTGACTTTGCCTGCCTTATAGCTTTCGGTAATGAATTCCAGAGGCGTGCTGCTATATAAATGTAAAGAAAAAAGTTGTAGGAACACATTATGACTCACCTGCATCGTGTCCAAAAGTGATTTCCACGTCGGCTCTGTCAAATACTGTGATATGCCGATTCGTAAAGACGAAGCCAATTCTTTCATTAGTGCCTGTTTAAGACATAGGAATAGTTCTGATTGCTGTAAATTATCTACTACACACTACGTGAGCTAGAGGATTTTTCAAAATAAAACCAAGGGTTTAAGAGTCGGGAGGTCACTGATGTTACTGCTACACAAAGAGTTCATTTAGTTCTTAGGTTCTCACTTATGTACTGTTGCGGTTTTTCCTCAAGCATATTCTGCTTGTTTATATTTTCTCGTCATCTTTACTCTTCATAACTATTACCGCTTTTTGGAAAACGATCACCGCGGAGTTAATAGTATTCTTCTCACGCCAATTTTTTTCTCCTCTCCTTAGAAAAGAGGTACACTATGCTGGCCAGACGGGTTGGTATAGGGTTTGTGTTAAGTTTTCCTTCTCTTTGCAGTGCTGTTGTTCTGCGTAGTTAGCTTCCTTAGTCGGATATTACGACACCCACAGGATAAATAGGGGTGGTGACACTCCGTATTAATCCATCAGTACACGGATAATTTCACTAAAACTTTCTTACCTTCAAAGTCCCTCTACACGCTGCGTACACCAGCATCCCGTTAGCAGCGACCAAGGTCCCCGTGACCAGCCACACGCTGCTGACAAAGTTAGCGCGAGTCCAGTATGGGAACTTTACCAGTAATGCGATTAAACGTAGACCACCAGTATAGTGTAGCTTCATGCCGTAAGCTTGGAATAGTATTAATCCATAGAGCAGGAGAACCGTCACCTGGAAATATAATCTGAATTAGCAAACAGCTTATGATCCACCTCATACTTAGACTTGGCTCTTAAATTTTATAAAGGGTATTTTGACGTGACAACGTCTTATAATTCGATAGAGCCGGCTGCACGCACGAAAAAACATGACTCATGCGGCGTTACCTCGCTCTGAGGCGTTCCATTTAAGGCGTGAAGTGCAAGCGAGAGCGCGGAACGAGTGACAAAGAGGCACAATCGGCCTCCGCGTTCGGCAGCGTTCGACATCTGTCTCTCTCCTACTTGAGTGAGCGATGCGTCCGCGTGGACAGCTGCTACTCGTATACAATAATACATTCTTGAAAAATGCAACCATTCCATCAGTATTTTCTTATGACGTTTTTACGTTCAACTATCGTCAGTAAACCGACTTTACAGACAACCGATTTTTTTTATAGTTTAAGAGGCCAAACCAAAATCATTTTGGATTTCTTTAACCTCACTTATTACAGGAAAAGTTGTCAAAGAATTGCTAAATACCGGTTTCTGTAAGGCCCTGCTGTCACCCGGGCCCGGCGCATTTGAGCTTAAGCTAATACAAAAAGAAGTACCTTATGTATATGTTTCAACAGCAGCATGACTCTGAGCGAGGTGTTGTAGCAGAATATTGCCATGCAAAGAGATAAGACGAGTTGAGCGATGAGAAGTGCACGCAGTACTCCGGCTAGCCGCGCGCGCCCGTCTTTAGTGAACGTGAACACGGCCCACGCCATCCAACATTGTGTTGCACCATGCTTTAATAAAAATAAATGCAATTAACGGGCCTATTCATCGTCATCAACAGCCTTTACTAGTCCATTGATGGACATAGGCCTCACCTTAGAAATGAGGTGTTGGCCTACTATACCACGCTGGCCAGACGGGTTGTTATAGGGTTTGTTTCAAGTTTTCCTTCTCTCTGCAGTGCTGTTGTCCTGCGTAGTTTGCTTCCTTAGTCGCCTCTTACGACACCCACGGGATGAATAGGGGTGGTGACACTCTGTATTCTCAATCCGTCACCACACGGATAGTAGGAGGAGGATAACCAGTAGGCCTATTGGTCTACTGGTTAACGATCCTGAATACTAAGATAAAGGTCGTTGGTTTTGATTTCCACCAAAGACGAATGTGTGATGAGCACGATCATTTGTTCTGTGCCTGCGTGTAATTTATCTATAGTGTGTTTATCAGCAGTCTGGTTGCCATAGTACAGGCTCAAATTAGTTTGGAATCAGGTAGCCGTGTGTGAGATGCGTCAGGATATTATTATTATAAAGAGATTATATTCCGTAGCGTCTACGTATGATAGATTAAAGAAAAGTCTGACTCGCACCTCTGCCCTGATTCAGACACAAACACCATTAGGTACATATACAAAAATACACACAAATATACTAAAGGGTCACACATAGAAAACAAAGATTGCATTTATAATTTACATTAGTTTTAATCTATATAAGTTTACACTGATGTTAATATGTGTAAACATTGGGCATATTTTACCTGTTATTCGTAATATATTAAAGAAAATGCTTGTAACGTCACAAAATCATTACATACACAATTAAACAACCTACTTGACAATGACGCTGACATTGTCTAAATGTTGTTTGAAGCCTACTAAAAAGAGTTTATTAAAAATAGGTCGGAATAAAATGAAAAAAAAAACGAGCTAGCCTTGATGAAGATGCTACCTACAAATTGAAATTGAGAAAAGGGCCCGAAAATGATTATATGCACCTTTGATTGTAGAGATTAGGTATATATTTTCTCGTTAAATTGGTTTTTCTTTGACTTTCAAATACTTTTAAAAATTCATGTTTGTAAACTTGATTGGGGTTCGTACAAACCCCAATAAAGTTCACAAATATGAATTTTTATTACAATTGAGTACTATTTCATAATTATTTTTATAAGTTTAGTAGAATTTCAAACATCTCTCATCAGTTACTATAGACTTATATGGTGTAGAACTAAGGCATCCTAAATGAGACCATTAAAAAGGTTGGATATCCTTTTCGTTTCTATGTATATAAAACGAAATACTCTATGCTCTAACACTACGTATAAACTCCAGCTAATAAAATTTACATAAATATGAATTAAATAAATATATTAATAAAACGTTTCTTTACTTGTAAGATACTGTGGTGCTAGGCAACTGATAAATCAATGTTTTACATCGAAACGTTTTACAGACTAATATATTTTGTCGGGACATACTGGCTGGCTAAAGACAACTGAAAAAAAAACGACAATTTAAAGCGGGAAAATTTAAAGTCATTCTATTGTTTTCTTCGGAAAACATGGAATAATAATTTATTGAGAAATAATAGTTTATTTTTCTTGTATTAAATAATTAGTTGTGTTGCTTAAATTGTCGTGATTAGTTAGCGATAATTAGTGTTTAGTGGCAATATGGCGGACGAAGAAGGGGACGAACAAGACGTTGTTGTTGTTGCTTCTACTAGGAAAAGGCCTAAAGTTGCATGGAGTGATGACCTAAGCCATGATTCTGAGGAAGAAAGAGGTAGGTAACCATAGACAAAATATGAGGTGTGTACTTTATAGTTATTTACTAGAATAATAATAATAGGTTGACACATGTTACGTACAGCCGGCTGGTTCTAACTTAGGCAGAGCCTGTACTATAGTAACAAGATGGCATAGAATCAGTGATCAGGCAATATTTGTCCTCATTCGGAATCAAACCTAAGACCTCACGTTAGGTAATCGTGTATCGCTCCAGGAGGCGGCGCGCCTGGCCGCCACGGGAGTTTCCCTGGTGGTCGGGCGCATTGAGGCGTTGGGTTTACGGGTGGCCCTGGATAAGACGGAGGCCCTATTATTTCATGGGCCCCGTCGTGGTCCGCCCGCCGGCGCCTCAATCGAGGTCGGCTCGGTCCTCGTACCGGTCCGGGCCCAGATGAGGTACCTGGGTCTGGTCCTAGACGGTAGGTGGCTCTTCGACGAGCACTTCCGACAGCTTGGTCCGAAGCTGGTGGACACTGCCTCCGCCCTAGGGCGACTTTTGCCCAATTTGGGCGGGGCCAGTGTTCCCACGAGGCGGCTGTACGCGGGGGTTGTCCGGTCCATGGCGCTTTATGGTGCACCGGTGTGGGTGGCGGCCCTGACCGCCCCGAATAGGGCGCGCCTCTGGCGCCCCCAGAGGATATTGGCGGTCAGAGCCATACGCGGATACCGCACGGTGTCCACCGAGGCGGCTTGCGCCTTGGCCGGAACACCCCCGTGGGATTTGGAGGCGGAAGTGCTCGCCGAAGTTTATCGGCGAGTGGCTGACTTCCGGGCGGAGAGCGGATTTCGCCCTCCGCCCGAAGACGTGCGCGAGTGGCGCGAAGCCGCTCGCCGAGCTACTATGGTGAGATGGTCGTTCCGGCTGGAGACTCCACGCGCTGGCTTCGCCGCCGTGGAGGCTCTCCAGCCGGTCATCGCCGAGTGGGCGGGGCGGCAGCACGGGACCCTTTCCTTCCGGCTGACGCAGGTGCTTTCCGGGCACGGTTGCTTCGGAAAGTACCTGTACTCGGTCGCTAGGAGGGAATCGAGTCCCGCCTGCCACCACTGCGACTGCAGTGAGGATTCGGCCCAGCACACGCTGGCGGTTTGCCCCGCATGGGCGACGCAGCGCCGGGCCCTCACTGCAGTCATCGGAGCGGATCTCTCGCTACCGGCCGTAATTCGTTCCATGGCCGGTAGCGACAGTTGTTTTACCGCGGTCGCAACCTTCTGCGAGGAGGTAATCTCGCAGAAGGAGGCGGCGGAGAAGGCCCGGGAGGACGACCTCCACTCGGACCTGATCCGCCGCCGGCGAACCGGGCGGCGGAGGCGCGCTCACCTGCGCCTCATGCCGCCCTGAGTGTGGCCGCGGGTGGACGGGATGGGTTCTCCCCTCCACCCGCATTAGTTGGCCAGCCGCGAGGGGGCGGCGTCCGCGTGTGCCGGACGCCGCCTAAAGAGAGGGTCCACTGAGACGGAGCCCGCGTCAGGAGCGGGCCGGCGCTGGGAGGGGTCCAGAAGGAGATAGCTACCTGGACCCCTCCTAAACTGGAAGCGCAAAGAGGGCACACCGTGTGGTTTTAGTCGGTTCGAGTCCGACACACCGCCCCGCCGAACGAGAGCCCCGGCGGGGTGACGGTCCGAGGGGATTTCCACACGTAAAAAAAAAAAAAAAAAAAAAAAAAAGGTAATCGTGTATCGCTAACCTAGCTAACCTAACCTAACTAGATCGACAGGCCAGTTCACTATTTTTTCTAGGAATTATTGCTGTACGTGTGCTCCAAGTTCGTGACTGTTTACTTGGAACTGTCAGATTGTTTGTTGGATTTCCTGATTGAGAAATATTTTGTGTTTTTGGTGAAAATTCTTACAAGCAGCATTTAGTCTGAAAAGTCTGTGAATATTAATATTTTAAGATCCCAATTTATCGTTCTTTATGAGGATAAATATACTATAATAACTAATATTTAGGTTTAACTTTAGGTTTAAATTGCCCGTTCTAAGTAAATACATGAATACTAAGTATTCAATACAGGTAAAGCCCTTAAAACAGATAAAAGAAGAAAATTTATTTGATAATGCATCTGAGTAATTCATCCTTCATTTCAGAAAAGGAACGCCTCGCCCAGCTCGAAAGAGAACTCGCAGAAACACCCGTCAAACCAATCTATCCCCCAGAAGACCTCGAAAAACTTGTAGGTTTTGTAATGAAAATGACCACTCTCTACGATCTTCGTGACGAAGATTGGACTGATGAAGCAAAACAGGGAATTGAAGAGTGGATCTTAGAACCTAAACACCTCATGCTCAGCGTTTACTTTAGAGGCGATAAACTCAAAGCTACGCCCGATATTCCCTTAGTTCACGTTTATGATCTCACTTACTTTCTGAGGCCTCCTGACCACGTCTTTCAAGTCAGTACATTCCATGATGAGATTACGTTCGGGACCTTCGTAGATTCTGTAGAATCGAATATGATACAACTATTGGAAAATGTATATGCTCCCTATTTCTTCTCGGTGAATACATGGCCGGATAGTGAGTAAACAATTTATAATGGATTAGTAATTTACCTAGATATCTCAGTTCCAGTCTTAATAGCCTCTCTAATTATAAAACAGACATACAGGTACGCCTGTACTAGCTACTGTTTTCTCTGCCAGTCAGTCAGAAAATTGCTGTACCTCTCTCTTTCTTCTTTTCCATGGCCCCAATTTACCTTCATCCTCTGCTTCGGCTGAAACGATTATACTTCTACCGTCGGTTGACCTAAAGCCATAAAACCCAGCAAAACCAAAGGAAGGGTGGCGTCAAAATAGCCAAAATTTTAACTTATTTAAAAAGTAAATTGTACAAAATGGGATATTTGGCGTTCAACACAATTTTAGCGATAAACATCCTTTGGATATAGACTTTCAGAATCGCGAGGCACAATGGATAGTTTTATTAGCACCAAATAACGGTTCTCGGCCGAGCCTAGGCGACTTGTATCTAAACTGTAACAAGTTTCCTGCCTCATGGTAAACGGTTACCGTATCGCAAGTATACTTGTAATTCTTTTACGACCCTTTAGAAACTTATACACTCTATTCTTTAAGAACTTCTAATTGTACTTCCTCGGGTAACCTCTACTGGTTAAGTGAAGTATAAAATGTTGTCAAATTATTGATAAATATGCTTTTACAGGCGTCAAGAGTGAATTTTGTAGCCATATACATACGTTTTTGGCCAAGCTGACTGATATGTACTACAAAATGCTTGGCCTGACCGTTCTTTACATACCTCAAGAAGGCCAACAATTGTCTTTTGAAAAAGCTAGCGCTGACAGAGAACTGGTGAAGAGATTGGAAGGAGTAGTGGTGTACTGGACTCATCAGATGAAATCGTGTTTGGAGGATACGGCGTTTGTGGCTTCACAGAAGGAACTGTTGTGCCCCAGTGATGAATATGACTTTTGGATTTACAGACGTGAGTAGAGAGACCCGCAAATTACTGTTAATTTTGTCCAGAATTTTCTATGTTATTGTAAAGAATTGCTATTCATTCTAATTACTATTCATATTATAAATTAAAGAGCGTACTCCTTCCTAAAAGGCCGGCATCGCGTTTGTGACTCCTGAGGGCGGTGATGGTCACTTTCAATCAAGTGACTCGTCTGCCCCTTCTAAAATAAAAAAAAAACAATTGGTGAAATGTTATGTTTTTCAAGCCCAAGCTACTTAACTGATCACCGGGAAATTTCTATAATTTTAAAAAGAAGTAGAGAAAACAACATAGGAATTTTTGAGTTAGAAAAAAATATATTCGCAAGGGATCGAGAATCGAATCGGATTAAATCGAATAAACTGCTTTACACAAAACTCGGAACAGAACTCATTATAACTACCATATTCAGCTTCTTACATTACTTATTCTGACCCACTCTTCCAGATGAAAACCTGAATGCTCTACTGTTCCAAGTAAAGAATCCAGCGGTGAAACACATCACCAAGATCTTAGTAACCACTCATTCTACATTCATACACCAGTTCCAAGCATTATGTGAAGAGGTAGTCCAAAAGATCGCTGAAGCTACTTCCAACATCGAATACTTACAAGTCATCAAACAGCCTTGCGCTATACTTGAATGTGTGGTGGATCCAGATGAAATATCCAGGCACATTCCGAAAATAATAAACCTCTTCAGGTTCATTTGGATGGAGTCACCATATTACAACTCCGAAACAAGAATAACGAATTTGTTCAAAGCTCTAAGCAACCAGATTATAATTTTGTGCCGAAACTACATCAAGCTCGATGACCTTTTTGATGGAGCTACGAAGAAAGCTTTAGGGGAGTTTAGCAAATGTATCGACTGCTGCAAAAGATACAGAGAAATCTATGATGTGATGGCAGAAGCTCACAATGAGATCAATCCAAACAGCTGGATGCTGGACACAGGATCTATCTTTAACTATATTGACTCCTTTATCCAAAGGTGCTTTGATATGTTGGATGTCTGCAACTGTATGATTATTTTTGGGAGGTAAGTGCAGCTTTTCTAAAACAGAAGTATTTTAATTTGGATGATAACTTTGATCGAAGTGTTTAATATTACAGGCTCTTCTTGACTTTTCAATTCCAAATATAAGTTTTCTGTTAGGAACAAAATACTTGTCTTGTCTGTGTGGTGACGAATTAAGAATACGGATTGTCACCACCCCCAATCATCCCGTGGGTGTCGTAAGAGCCGACTAAGGGAGCAAACTACGCCGGACAACAATGCTGCAAAGAGAAAGAAAACTTGACACAACCCCTATACCAACCCATCTGGCCAGCGTGGTATAGTAGGCCAAAACCTCCTTTCTAAAGAGAGGGCTATGTCCAGTGGACTGTTAAGGCTGTTGACGATGATGATGGTGATAAACAAAAGACTGGAACGATACAAGAGCTCTAAATCGAAGGCAAGTTTATGCAAACAGGGAAACCTGAAATCCTAGGCCCTGCGATAAGCCACAGGGTTTCCTTTCTTTCTTTTCTACCCTGGGTATTATCTCCAATAGCTCGTTCAGCAAAAGCTACGGTTATAACGAAATCGTGTCGCCTTCAAGAAACTTAGATGAATAACAAGTCGAATACAAATACAAGTATTAGTATTGAATCTAGGGAGTATAGCTAATTACCGTTATAATGTATGTGTGTATGTAATAAGGTACCTACGGCTAGGGCAGGGAGATGATGATGATAGCCGTTGTTCTTTTTTCCTCCAGGTGTACTCTAGGAAGGGAATCTCTGGTACCCGGTTTGTACATGACCCCTCGGGTGTGGGAACCACGGTGTTCCCATTCTGCTACCAAAAGGGCGCACGCGCTCTACAGTGCTCACGTAAACGAAAAAATCACAGTCGGCCATTTCATGATGAAGAGAAATGTTTAATTAAATTAAACCATATTTGATTGAATCAACCTTTTGGTTTACAAAGAGTGTAAAAATAAGTTTGTTTTATTATTTTTAGAAGGGACTAACAAGGAAATAAATTTATTAGTACTTGTTGAGTCCCCAGCACAGGGGATCGAAGTGGAATTGTAAGTGTTTTACAATCCCCTGGGGGATTGAGATAGGGATTCAAGTGGAAAGAGAGGAATTTGGCACTCACCACTAGGTCAACCAGATCTATGGAACTGATTGATTTATTCTTAATATATAGAATTTATTTGTTTTAAAGGATCGATGAGCTGGAGCCTATCAGTAAGTCGATATTCGCGGGCGCCAGAGGAGACGTGTTCGAAGCGAAGTGCGACAACATCGAGAGGCTGTTCTTCAGCGCTCTGCTCGATGTGAGAGGAGTGGCTCACACCATACTCGATGTTCAAGCTCCATCGTGGTACGATGACATACTGAATTTTCGCTCTGTGATTAAGGATATCGAGGTGAGATAAGATACCTATTACATTTTAGAATATTAATAATAACATGTCCGTGTGGTGACGGATTAAGAATACGGAATGTCACCATCCCTATTCATCCCGAGGGTGTCGTAAGACGTAGTGTAGGACGCTCTGTGTAGGATGGCTGGCAGGAGCTGGATGCTTGAAGCCCGAAATCGATCTAAGTGGCGTGCAATGGGAGAGGCCTATGTCCAGCAGTGGACTGCGATAGGCTGATGATGATGATGATGATGTGTTTTTTGTATATGAAAAGGGACTTACATTTGCCATCAAACTGTCATACAGTTTATCAGAAGTATGGTGTTTCTGTAACATGTAATTATGTTAAATAAATATTTAAAAAAAAAACTACGCAGGACAACAGCACTGCAAAGATAATTAAAACGTCAACAAACCCTATGTCAACCCGTCTGGCCAGCGTGGTATAGTAGGCCAAAAGCTCCTTTCTAAGTAGCATCTGCCCTCTCCCCATTTTTTTTCTGTGCGGAACTCTCCTCGGATACCACCCACCAGTGGGTGATTATGTCGGACTCGAACCGACCAAAAACCGCACGCCGTCTGTAGGTACCAGAAGCCGGGGAACCAGGTATACCCTAGAAAGGGAAAGCCCTGGTATCCCGACGTACCTGGTACCGGGGGAGCATCTGCGCTCTCCCCCTAGATTTCGTATGCTCAAATATTATTAAGTTTATTAGGGTATCTAACATCGTATTCTATTTTTGATTAGTTTTATGATATATTTTTCTCTCTTCTGTTTGCTAAATCAACGTAGAGTGTTAAGGAAAATTTATTTTCAGATAATAATAGAGAACTTAGTGGAGTCGGTGTTCGAAGGCGTGAACAACGTGGAAGAGGCCGTGCTGGCACTCTTCTCTCTTAACAATTACTCCAAAAGGAATAATCTGAAGCGTATTTTTAAAAGGAAGACTGCTGAGGTAGGTATATGCAATTGAAGAAAAATGATTAACCCTTAAAAAAGGCATAACTGACCTCAATACGCCTGCATCATTATGAAATGGGGATGGAAATATTTTTGGGTTGGTATTTTGTCTATGGTAAAATAGTTAACGCGAAGGGGTGCCGTTCGTGTGTTTGCCTAGTTACGTGCGTACCCGAAGAGTGGGGCGTTCGTGTGTAAGAAAATTGCCTAGTTACGTGTCCCCCAACCGAACACCCTTTTCATAAAAAATAGATATCATAGTGAGATAATCTACTGTTCTGTTCGAATTAAAGAAAGGCTTATTTGAAAAACACTTATAACAAGCTCGTGGTAGTAATATACCTAACTACAACAAAAATGGTTGTAGTTAGGCTTGCATTAGTGCACCACCTATATTGAGAATATACACGTCCTTCCAGCGCTTGCTGTAACTTCAATTCGAATTCACTTATACTTTTTTAATGAAACAAAAACTGATTGATGATGAGAAAGTAACCGGAAACCTGTGAACGTTATACCGTATTAAGAATTTCCTCCCCTCCTAAAACAAAAATCTCTCTCATGCAGTCCCCAACTATCTACTTTTATAAATTCTATAATTGATTATGGCTATGTGTGTTACTTCGACCTGAATGCAGACCTCCTTAAAAACCTAGACCGTCTTCTTAACAACTGCATTCTATAGATATATATACTAACGTTACTAACTGTAACCTCAGTGCACCTACCTTACCAGATTACTACACCACCCAAAGGTTGGCTGGTAGAGAATGCCCCGGGCATTAAGTCCACCGACGTCCACAAGCGCATAACGTTGTAAAATAAAATAAATAAATTATTTATCTATTACTGACTATATAACTTTTATAAGGTATGGGCAATGTTCAGTGAAGAAGTCCAAGAGTCTAAGAAAGACATGGTGTCCACTCGTAGTCAGCATCCAGCGGACATGCCATCCTTCGCCGGGAGAGCCACCGTACTCAAGATGAGGAAGAATCGACTCATGTATCTAAAAAAGGTAAGAAACGAAGTGTTACTACCCCCATTCATCCCCTGGGGCAGGACAACAGCACTGCAAAGAGAAGGAAAACTTGAAGCTAACCCTATACCAAGCCGTCTGGCCAGCGTGGTATAGTAGGCCAAAACCTCCTTTCTAAGGAGAGGCCTATATCCAGCTGTGGACTATTACAGGCTGTTGATGATGATGATGATGAAGAATTGAAGGGATCTGTACCAGTGACGTGCAGAAAATGTTTTACATTCTGATACCTTACGATGTGGAAAGATATGCGTTTTATTTGGACCTATCACAAAGAAGATAGCTAACTAATAGTGCTGTATTCTTAGTAAAATTGAAACTGCGTAAGTACCTATATAGTCAAGATAGTTAATCACGCAATTTCTCATACATTGATTCACAACCTTGGCTGACTTATTCAAACAGTTGTAGTTAGTGGAAAATTTTGGGACACTTCTTCAACTCTGTTTGGTAACTTTGGCCAAAACTCTAATGGAGCATGAGTTGAATAAAATATTTATTTACTTCCAAAAGAACATAGTATTAAATTACAAATATTGTGGCAATATTAAAAAAAACCGGTCAGATACGTGTCGAACTCGTGCGCCGAGGGTTCCGTACCTACCCAGATTTTACGTAGATTTATGCGAAAATTTGTAAGTAACAAAATTTATCTTAATTTTCAACTTTTTTTATTTTTTGGAATGATTCCTTTGAGTTATATTTTTTTTCGAAAATCTAAATTTGCCCATATCTTTTTATCGTGTTGACTCAGGACCTTGATTTTTATACACCTAATAGGGACCATAGACCTCTGTATATGGTATAAATTTCAACTCCCGTTCATGAGAAAATCGGTGGTGACACACGGACAGACGGACAAGAAAGTGATCTTATAAGGGTTCCTTTTTTACCTTTTGAGGTACGGATCCCTAACAATTAATGTAGCATCTGCAATCAAATTAGGCACAGTCTGTATTTCGATTGTCAGCGCCAAGCCCCTATAATTATTTATAGTCCAGGCACATTGACTCATTTACAGAGATAAAAAAAGAAAAATGTTATCCAGATACATACCTTTTCAAATGGTTAAAAGGGTTAAAGTCAACATAAGGAAAATGAGTTATGTGCCCAAGAAAGTTAGGGGATGATTTTAGGGGTTGAAAAGGGGGGGAAAATGGATACATCTCGTGTTTTTTGCAATTTCACGCGAAATTTGATGTCCCACTGAAAAACGTTAAATACAAAAGTTGTAGATCTTGGAAAAATCTACAACTTTTGTATGGGTCATTTTTTAATATAACCTCAAAATTTCAGAAAAAATGCAATAAATCAAAAAAAAAATTGTTTTTCGTTTTTTAATTGTCAATTTCTCAAAAATAAATATTTTTAAACCTAACTTGCTGAAAGTACTCCTTTTTGTGTCCCAAACAACAAAAACAAAATTTTAGATTGAAATATTAAAAAAATTCATTTATTTCGGTCCGAGACACGTTGTTTTCAAAGTTACATTTTACTACTTACAATCATCGTAGAGAGGTCATACAGGGCTCATTTTTTTTCGTTTTGACGTCTACTTTTTAATGAAATAATAAAACAATACAGCTTTCATTTAAAAACATGTCTAAAAATTGAAAAATATAAAAACTTCATTTTGCAAAAACAAATTTTTTGGTTATTGTTAATAATTTGTTATAAATAAAAAAATAATTCAAAAACTAATAAGACCATTGAATTGTACGGGAAAAAACACGAAGGAACATATGTTTTCCTATTTAAATACATTTTTTATTTTTGTACAATACTGCTATAAACATTGTAATAGCATATTCCGTGTAGTTGAAAGATGTCAGGTAAGTACATACAATGCGATCGACTTTTACTTTAAAAAGAAAAGTTCCTCATTTCTCGCGATGAAATTAATTTATTCAATTATTTCCTACATATTTTGATAAATAAATCGTCTTATAATTAACTTTTGTATACAATTATTTAAAACATGCTTTTAAATAATTGAATGATTTTTTAAAAATGAATTCTGAATCTAATTTAACTTGCACCGAATTTATAATTGAAATTTATATCAACAAAATAGATTTTTAACAATACTACTACTAATAATAATAATAAAAAAATAATGGAGGTAAATGACAATAATGAAAAACTCAATTTTAATCAAGTTGATTTTTTAATGAAATATGCTCAAGTACTGATAAATATCATACATTTACACTTTATATACATAAATATTATACATTTATTATGCGATTTATTACATATTTAATAATGAATACATTATGCACACTAGACCAATTTTTGTCTTTTCGCTAATTGTAAGTTTGGCTGATCATCATCGATTAATTGTTCGTCGAAATATGTGACTTCCTCATCATCTTCAATCGTTTCTTCATCAAATTCCTCTGGAAACTTTTCCATAGCAAGATTTTCTGAGTTGAAGATGTTAAATGGTTGTTCAATTTCATCAGGATTATCAGAAATTTCATCAAAATCACTTAAATCCTTTGCAACTTTTTCAACGTTTGAACAACTTTCAGAACCATGGCATTTTGTGCATAACTCTGTGCATTGCAACTCATGTTTTCTGCAACCGCATCTATTGCCCTCACATCCAGTCTCACAACTGCAACAATTATCTTAAGTAACTCATCTGGAATAAGTGAGCCATCTGTATAATGTGGCATAAGTAGTTTTGTATTATTTACAATCACTTGTTTCCAGCCCCATTTCGTTGCTTGTAATGTGACATACATTACAAGCAAGCAAGCCACATTTGTAGTTGGAAGTATACTCTGTACGAGTGTTGAATTGCTGCTCCAATAGAAAGGGGTAATTTTTCGAATTTAAAAGTCGACTTTGCAGTTAATAATTTAAACTGTGTAAATCTTAAATCATCCAGTGGTATTTTAGATTTTTTTGATTGAAAAATCGATGCAATCAGTTTACAACCATTTCGAGCAATGACTTTGGGATCTGCATTACTTTGATAAAAGGGCAGTGCTAATTCTTTTAACTCAGGAGCATTAATCAACGAATTAAAACTTGTTGTTTTTCCTTTGCCAGCAAAAGCGGATGTTGTATTACATCCAGTAAAACAATGCAGATGAGCAACAATTGAATTAATTAATTTCATCGCGAGAAATGAGGAACTTTTCTTATTAAAGTAAAAGTCGATCGCATTGTATGTACTTACCTGACATCTTTCAACTACACGGAATATGCTATTACAATGTTTATAGCAGTATTGTACAAAAATAAAAAATGTATTTAAATAGGAAAACATATGTTCCTTCGTGTTTTTTCCCGTACAATTCAATGGTCTTATTAGTTTTTGAATTATTTTTTTATTTATAACAAATTATTAACAATAACCAAAAAATTTGTTTTTGCAAAATGAAGTTTTTATATTTTTCAATTTTTAGACATGTTTTTAAATGAAAGCTGTATTGTTTTATTATTTCATTAAAAAGTAGACGTCAAAACGAAAAAAATGAGCCCTGTATGACCTCTCTACGATGATTGTAAGTAGTAAAATGTAACTTTGAAAACAACGTGTCTCGGACCGAAATAAATGAATTTTTCAAACAGGTTAAAACCTGTTTGAAAAAATTTCAATCTAAAATTTTGTTTTTGTTGTTTGGGACACAAAAAGGAGTACTTTCAGCAAGTTAGGTTTAAAAATATTTATTTTTGAGAAATTGACAATTAAAAAACGAAAAACAATTTTTTTTTTGATTTATTGCATTTTTTCTGAAATTTTGAGGTTATATTAAAAAATGACCCATACAAAAGTTGTAGATTTTTCCAAGATCTACAACTTTTGTATTTAACGTTTTTCAGTGGGACATCAAATTTCGCGTGAAATTGCAAAAAACACGAGATGTATCCATTTTCCCCCCCCTTTTCAACCCCTAAAATCATCCCCTAACTTTCTTGGGCACATAACTCATTTTCCTTATGTTGACTTTAACCCTTTTAACCAATTAAAAACGTAGGTTTCTGGATAACATTTTTTTGTTCTCCATATTCAACGTGCCTGGACTATTATTGTAACAATAGGTTATGATTTTCTTTGTGTTAGTTATACTGTTACAAAATTCTTACACACCAACACCTACCTAAAATTATTATTTTTTATCAAAGTGTGGGGATGTCCTTTTCTTTTAGTGATGTAAGTGATGAAGTGTACGTAAGTGTTGTGATATAGTGGTGTATTAAGAATGTCATCTGAGCGTGTTTTAATAGCGTTGATAAGTGTGTATATGTTTAGTGTAGATGTGTGTGATGAGTTGTGTGTGACTTTGTATAAACTGTTTTAGACCTAACATATTAATTGCTGTGTTATAACTAATAGCATTTCTGTTTTTTGTCATTGTTTGTGTACGTATGGGTTCGATTCCCACCCAGGACAAATATTGTGTGATGAGCACGGTCACTTTTGTTGTTTTGTATTTAAAAGTATATAAGTATGTTTATCAGCAGTCTGCTTACCATAGTACAGGTTCTGCCTAGTTTGGGGATCAGACGGCCGTGTGTGAGATGTGTGAGATATATAAGTACTGGCTCACTACTACCTTACATTGTTTTTTGTCAAAGGGTGAATGTTTAATGTTCTGTTTATTGGAACGAAGTTCCTTATCGCGCGTTGTGAAAGGGGGCTAGACGGAAAAAATTCATACGAAAATTTGGAACGACACTTTTAATATAAATTGACGTCTAACTGTGGATACCATACATTAAATTTGCTTTAACGTTCGCCAACGTCCATACCATGTTGAATATAAAGTTCTCGTCCGATAACAGAAGTTAAGCAACATCGGGCGTGGTTAGTACTTGGATGGGTGACCGCCTGGGAATACCACGTGATGTTGGCTTTTTGCTCTTTAATTTTCGTGTCATCTTGTCAGACATTCAGCGCCATCTATCGAATAGATAGGAAATCATTTCGCAAGGAGATTTTACCAATGTATAAATTGTTTTTAATATGTAGGTAATAGCCGCTTTCATAGATGGCGTTGTAATTAAAATCGTGTCAAATCAGTTTTACTAGATCCTCACAACTTCGTTCCTATCGGGTGTCCCACGACACCACGCGGCTTTTTTTTGTTGTATAAATTTATTCCATTAGAGTATTGGTTCTTTCTATTCTATTTCAAAAATGTTACAAAAACTCTTAATGTGATTAAGATGCAATAGTTTTTATTTTACAAAGACAGAAGTATCTTGTGATACTTGTGATTTGTACCAACTATTTAAATTTCACTGAAAAGAAAAGTTAAATATTTTTATATACATTACTTTTACATCGTAATTTTAATTATGAATGAACACACTACCACCATGTGGAGTATCTTTTTTATATTGTAATCTTTACAGATCTGCAGTTTTGAATTTCGTCATTGACTTATTTGTCCAAGTCCCATTTGCATGTCTCGATTAATGTAAACTCCCGGCGTCTCAATAATTGGAAGCAATCATTTCTTTGACGCTACTTTTTAAGGCACTTGTTGGCACTATTTAGTTTTGCACGAACATATCCCCCTTAATCCTATGACTGTTTGCCATGCATTAAAACATGTCTTTTTTTAGGGTTCCATACCTCAAAAGGAAAAAACTGAACCCTTATAGGATCACTTTGTTGTTCGTCTTTCAAAACCGTTTATCTCGGGAACGCGTGGAGGTATCGAGTTGAAATAAACCATATTGGTACTCAGGCCTACAATCCCTTAAAACTGCAAAAAAAAGCTTCTACGTTGACGTAAAAAAAGAGACAGCTATAAAAAAAACGCATATTTTGACACTCAACGACATCAAAATAGGATAGTTCCCGTTGACCTAAGACCATGAAATTTGACAAGTAATATCGTTTTATACGACAAGTACAGAGAAAAATCTGAAAACTTTACATTTGTAATTAAATCATTAAAAAAATGTATTTATTTAAAGTACGTAAGCAATCATCGAGGTACATACAATTTAATATGTAAAACAAAACACAATAAATTGTTATGGTTTATTTTAGTTTATAAGGTTTTGCAAACTTAATTTAGGGAAAAGCTCGAAAAAAAACTGCGTGACTTGGTGTGTTCCGTTGCAGCCCGGCCACAGTCGATTTCGTAATTTATAGACATATCAATTAAATGTTCTTTTATTGTTCTTGCTGTACCAATTAATAAATTAAATGTACCACAAATATATCTTGTTTAAAAAGAAATTGTTTGTGGCCGGGCTGCACCGTATACGTTGCAGCCCGGCCACCTGTATTTTTTCTTGTAGGATGCTCAAAATGTTCTAAAATATAAACCAAATAAATGTTCTTTTTATGTTCTTTATTTTTTTCAATGAAATAAACCAAGAGAAAGGTATGCATAAACAAAAAATGATTTCAAAAAATGAATAGTCACTAAGCGCCTGTAGAACTAGAATAGCACGTCGGCTTTGTTAATTTTTATTTTTCTAGAATCAGCTGAATCGATGCTTAACTTTAATAGCAATGCAAGTTGCAATGCAGTGAAGAATGGAATTAAATGTGTGGGCAAAACAACAATAAGTTACAATTTGACAGATTTTTTAATTTTTCAGTTGGATGAGCTTACAGAAAGAGTAGATATAATATTATTCCAAGTTATTTACTCTCACAAGGAAAACACTTTCATTTATTAGCAGTGATCGAGTTCGTTGATGATGTGCGTCATTATGTTCAAATCAAATCAAATCAAATCAAATTTTGTGGACAAATAATACAGTTATATCTGTTCATTGTATTATCTACACAGTTTTGTAAGAAATTAGTTATAATAGGTACTTTGATTAGAGTAGCACCTAATAAGGTACAATACTACCACGACTGCGTTTAACATGTTGACTGCACGGATGGCGTAGTAGTTTAAGCGGTCGCCACGCCGCCGAATGTTGTGGGTCCGATCCCCACATGGGACAACACTTTGTGTGATCCACAAATTGTTGTTCTAAGTCTGGGTGTTCTTTGTGTCCGTTTCATGTATGTTTGTAAAGTCCCCCGAGACACAGGATTGTGGCAACTCCCACATACAAAGAAACAGAAACATACTACAGCGCCATCTAAAGACTACACACCGAAATACGGAGTAGCTACTAAATAAGAATTGCTAATCCTGTATCGCGATATGAAGAATTCCCTCGCCGATTAGTATATATACAACTTCCCAACATCAAATATTGGGCCGCGGCCCGCCAGGCATGATCATCCGCCTGGTCGGAGGATCCTCCCTTTGTGTTGCAGGGACATGACACCCGTTCCTCCACAGGATATATTCCTAATGTGGAAGTTGTTTTTTATTTTATATCGTATTTTGTTTCTTTTCAATTTGTTTATTTTTTGTTGAATTTGAATTGTACAGTATTTTTATTTTATTTTTAATTGTATAGTTGTCTTAAAAAGAAAACAATACTATGATTTTTTTTAATACTGTAGGTTACAATTTATTTTGATTACTTTGTCATTAAAAGCATATAATTTAAATTTACGGGTTTTTAATAATTGTATATTAATAATCTATCTTGTTATTGTTTAATTGCTAACATACTTACATTGCTATTTTAGTCCTACAGGCGCTTAGTGCAAATTCTTATTTTAAGTCATTTTTTGTTTATGTATACCTTTCTCTTGGTTTATTTCATTGAAAAAAATAAAGAACATAAAAAGAACATTTATTTGGTTTATATTTTAGAACATTTTGAGCATCCTACCAGAAAAAATACAGGTGGCCGGGCTGCAACGTATACGGTGCAGCCCGGCCACAAACAACTTCTTTTTAAACAAGATATATTTGTGGTACATTTAATCTATTAATTGGTACAGCAAGAACAATAAAAGAACATTTAATTGATATGTCTATAAATTACGAAATCGACTGTGGCCGGGCTGCAACGGAACACACCGTGACTTGATACCTGAACTATTTATGATAATTATGTACACACAAATTTGTACGGTACCATCGGTGGGCGAGTCCTACTCGCACTTTTCCGGCTTTTTTTTGTTGTATAGTCATACAACCGCACTAGGAAAATATCCTGTGTCGCTGCGGACTTAATCACACAATGTGTTGTCCCATGTGGGAAACAAACCCACAACATTCAGCGCAGTAGGAAGCAGCTTAGTGACCGTTTAAACTTCTACGCCATCCATGTGTATATTATTTGGATAAAATTATGCCCGCAGATAATGACAGACGCATCTGTATGGATGATGGCGTGCAGTAGTTCCGAGGAGGTGATAATGCACGTGAACAGACTCACGGGAGCAATCGATGTGGCCATCAGAGAGCTCTGGATATCCTGGACGGTACTCAAACAGATTACTTGGTAAAAAGCAGAAATCATAACTTATTAAGTTATGACCTCTGCTTTTTACTTGCATAAAACAGCGAATATGGCCTATAAGATTTTCGAAGTGTTTCACGGCAAAAGTTTTTAATATTTTTTTTAGAGTGAAAGCGTGTCTGTTGACGTTTAAACAGCTAAACCGATTTAGATGAAATTTGGTATAGAGATAGCTTGAGTCTCGGGAAAGGACAGTTTAGTTTTTATCCCAGAAATCATTCTTTAAGGGTGAAAAGGGGGTGGAGGGTTTATGGGGAATCAATAACGGCTGAAGCAATTTAGATGTAATTTGATATTTAGATAGTTCGGTTCTTGAGAAAGGACATAGGGTTACTTTTTATCGTTATAACCGACATACACGCGGGCGGAGCCGCAGGCAAAAGCTAGTATTAAATAATTATGTTTAAGGTATATACTTTATATCTATCGTATTTTCGACGCGATATCGTAATCTTTGAATTGCCCGAAGTTTCGACCAGCAGGTTGCACTGTCGGTGGTGCACTCTCTCTGTAGTCGAATCCGTAAGTTTTTTTTTCAACCATTTTCGATATCCCATATACAGTCGTTTACTATAATTTATAATCAGTATTCCTATTCTGTAAGTCAAAACAGAAAAGAGGACTGCAAGTAAAAACCAGATGCAATTTCTTTATTAAATTAATATTTTTTATTCTATGTAAACCACTATTTCGCCATATTTTAAACACAAATGTATAAAATGTTGAACAGCACAACTTGGACGAAAAATGTGGAGCTGGGCTGAACAGGACTCTGATGAGGAAGAGTGCTGAAAACCCTGGACTACTGGAGTGTAATATTGACTCGTAAGTATCTTTGGTATGATTCAAAATGTCTGTCCAAAACCGATGCTCATTTTAGAGACTTGTAAGCTATTACGGGTTTACCCTGTTCAGATCAAAGACATCAGATATATAATAATAATATACATACAATATTTTCACACATCTCACACACGGCTGTCTTATTCCAAACTAAGCAGAGCACGTGCTATGGTAACCAGACTGCTGATAAACATACTTATATATTTCTAAATACATACATATTATAGATAAAGTACACCCAGACACAGAACAAATGACCGTGCTCCTCACACAATTATTTATCCCGGTTGGGAATCAGGACAAATAATTTTGGAATATTACAGAACTCATTAAAAAAAAATTTTTTTTTTTTTAAATACAACTCCCGCATTAGGAATATATCCTGTGTCGCGGGGGACTTTACAAACATACATAAAACGGACACAAAGAACACCCAGATTCAGAACAACAATTTGTAGATCACACAAAGTGTCGTCCCATGTGTGGATCGAACACACAACACTCAGCGTAGCAAGAAGCAGCGTGGCGACCGCTTAAACCACTACGCCTGTAGTCAATCCGTACATCTATTTGTTCCAGAAATATTTTGGATTTATGCCATGAAGCTGCGCATTGGGAGAATCTATTGATGGACATTCCTCTGCATGCTTATCAGGTAATCTGATCTGTTTCTAAAATACTCTTCAGTATGCGAGGTGTTAGTAGCAGACAGCAGGAGAGGGGTGTGAACTTGCCGCAAAGACTTGCTATACAATTTAATAATATCAATGACGATAATATTATATTTTTATGGCATGGGAAACGAGAAGACGGGTCATCTGATGAAAAGTGACTAGAGCCACCCAAGGACACCTACAACTTAAGAGAAACTCCCCTCCCTTCTCCCCAATATAATAATAATTAATAATATGATAATTAATAATAATAATAAATTGTAATAATTGGGTGTAATTTATCTATAATATGTATGTATTTAAAAAATATATAAGTATGTTTATCAGCAGTCTGGTTACCATAACACAGGCTCTGCCTAGTTTGGGATCAGACGGCCGTGTGAGATGTGTGAGGTTATTTTTATTATTATTGTTATTAATATGGGAGGAGGGGGCTTGGTTAAGCTTTCGGTAACCTCACTCACTCGGTACGAAAAGAAACGATAACAAAAAACAATTGCTTAACACTTATTTTCTGTGATGCCGCGGTATCACTTTGGTCAAGTTGGCCAGTATGTGCCGAAGCTTAGCTCTCCTGCGATAATATAATTGTATTCTTAGAACAGCTTATCCTGATATAGTTATTTGGTGCTGAATACCCCAATCTAAACGAAAATAAGAACAAAAACGGTTTACCTTTTTTTTCCATCAACAGCCTTTAATAGTCCACTGCTGGACATTGGTCTCTTCTTAGACAGGAGGTTTTGGCCTACTATACCACGCTGGTCAGACGGGTTGGTATAGGGTTTGTTTCAAGTTTTCCTTCTCTTTGAATTGCTGTTGTTCTGCATAGTTTATCACCTCAGTCGGCTCTTACGACACCCACGGGATGAATAGGGGTGGTGACACTCCGAATTCTTAATCTGTCACCATACGGATAGTACCCTTTTTAGAGTCTACAAATATCTATAGTATGATAGGTACTTCTGGTGTTAGATTCTAGGCCTTGGTCATTGCAAGCCCTCAGAAACCACAGTTTAATATTTTAATTTTGCACCTACCGCATCACATTTCTACATCACCTGAAGGTTGACTGGGAGAGAATGCCAAATGGCATTAAGTCCGCCTTTGTACAACATGTGCATTACGTTTAAAATAAATAAAAACAATTATTTATCAGGTTTACATGAAGGGTAAGAATGTATACTACGTGTTTGAGAGTGTATTAGCCGTCGTTAAAGGGTACAACAAGATCTTGGACTCGCTGTCGGACGAAGAGAGGTTGCTGTTCAAACCGCTTATCAATGTAAGTTCATTTATCTATCCGTCACACTTTTAAGCTAATTTACTATGAAGAGTTAAATTAACAATTTTCTGAGAGTTGAATTAAAAACTCAACTGCGTGAAAATCGTATAGTACTAAATTCACAAACCAATTTTTTTTTTGGATATATGGCTTTTACTCATTTGGGAATATAGGCGAGGTTTATGTATGAATTGTTTTTCATATAAAATTTGTTATAAAATTAAACAATTTATTATCACCAATCAGTATCATAAAATTATTTCTAATATCACAAAATACTTTGACTTTTATAATAATAAAAAAACACTTAAGTAGATTAGATTAATATTTTCATAACATTACATAATAAGATAAATATATGATAATTGCAAACATTTTACAAGTATGTAACATTAAAATGGTTATCAAGAAAGTATTCAATATTCTAAACTGGTTAAGTTCGTAAGTTGTTAGATTTCTTAGAGCATATTTTTCCATACTTCAAAACCATCCTTGTCGTTTAAAACGATACGGGACTGTTCACCATGTCAGCAAGGCGGCATCCCTCTAATATTTTAATACCGTGTTTCCCTCATCTTAATCACTTTGTTTTATTTTCACATTAAAGTAAATGAACACATTTTGACACATGCACACAACTGTGAACTTATTTTGGTACCAAAGAATAAATAATGATTAACCTCCTAAATTCCACATAAAAAAAAATAGCGTTCACATTTAATTCCTTGATACTAAGAATATATGATTCTTTATGAATGTCCTTCATAAAGAACAAAATAAATATCTACATTGAAGCCTGAACATTTAGCAACAGACAAATTGTTTTCATTCAGTCATAATGATATCTCTAATATTGAGATAGTCTGATCGAAACAATGGAAGCCATTTTGTTCTGTAAAAAGCCAAAGAAGAATAAGAAAGTTTGGTCTTCCTCAGAGCTATTTTTAAAAAGGCCTTAGGCGGTTAACCTAAACATAAATCCAAGTGATCGTTCATAGAAATCTCTTCAACCATCTTCATACAACACGGGCATGGTGTTTTTGTTCCCGTTTCATTAAACTCTTGTGACTCATCAAACATATCATCATCATCATTGATTACTACAGTGTTGTGATTGCTAAAGGACGTATTTGCATCTTCTTCAGACATGGTGTTGTTGATATCAGAAAAAACTCTACATTCATCCAAATGTTCAACAACTGGTTTATCAATTTTTTTACCACAACATGGACACATTTGTTCAACTCTTTCACTATCTTTACTTGAGCTAGGCACAGGTTCCACTTCCTTTATGCTTGGTTCTGATCCATTTTGGGGTTTATTTGATGTTCCTGAAGATGATTCTGAGTTGATAACACTGAATATAACACCTTTGTCTTTTGTAATGAAGTTATCAGATTTTCTCATTTTGTTTAAATTAGGATCCAATATTTGACTTGTTTTATCGTCTTTTTTTTTTAACAATGTCACCTTATCGTGTTCAGTCGACTGTAATATAGTTTGCGAATCACTCTTTCTTCTATCTTTGTTACTGTTTATCTTATTTCCAAAAGGATCCATGTTAAGATTAGTCAAGTCTATAATTTTTTTTGGTGTACTTTCTATATTTCCTTTAAATGCAGGTATGGCAGGTATATTGCCTATTGTCTGTACTAAATTACTTCCAATTGACGTAGTCTGTGCTAACTCGTTGTCTTGACTTAGTTCTTTAATAATATCTCTATTGAGACATTCATCTAAATGCTCGTTTATCTTATTACTATCAATTTTTGCATTACATGTTGGGCAGTCCACTAATTCTACGTTCACGGGTTTACGTACAGCAACTAATTTTGTATTGTTTTTTTCCTGTATCAGTCTGAAATCTTCTCCATATATTTCTTTCAACACTGATGTTGCTTTAAAATATTCATCAATTTTTTTCATTTTTGCTGGTGGCCCTGGTATGTTGGTATCTGTAGCTTTTTGTTTATTTGGCTTAGGAGTGCTAGAAATTTTACCCTGTTTCTTTACAGACATACTAGTCTCAACTTTTTTTAAAGGCGCTTTATTAATCACAGAAGGTATTTCTTTATTTGCCCAAATACGTCTTACATGTTCTGTCACATTTCTATGATCAGATATATGTTTAGTCCCATTTATAGTATGTCCGTTCCCTGTAAACAAGGGTACCTGAGGTTTTGGTGAAGTAGGGTTAAAATTTGAACCAGTTGATTTAGTTTTTAAGTTCGAATTAGAGTCTTTGGGCACCTGTTTTCCTACAATATTTGTATTTGACCCATTATTAATTATTTTATTATTATTAATAAATTTAGTAATATCACCATTTGTTTTGGTACTTTCATTTTTCTTAGAAGTGTTAGTAGTTGATGTGCCACTATTTTTCTTTTTAGCTTTAAAATTTTCAGGCTCTTTAATTTTAATGAAGGTGCCTCCACATTTTCTTTTGTGTTCATTCCACCAGTAATCTGATGGGCCTGGTGCTCTGTTATTTGAGCGTCTGACAATACCAAAATGTGGCCGTCTTTTCAAACATGGTCCATCACAACGCCACCAATGTGTTAAATACAGGTGCACCTGAAACGGTACAATTTACGTAATTAATATACTGCCAATAACAAATAGTAATTCTTAATGGCCGTAAAAAACATTAATAAAAAAAAAACAGTACTGTTACTGTGCTTAATTCAATGCAGAGGATATTCTCAATCATTGTTTGGAGTTTAAAAGATTTCAAATGAAAAATTACTAGATTTGTGAGTAATATAAGCTACCTATATGTATGTGTTACAGTCAGAACTCAACTGGTTAAAGATATTTTAACCAATATTTGGCAATATTTTACTGCTGCGTCAGATTCCACTATTGTTGGTAATCTTTTAGGTTAGATGAGGTTATAACAGTGTAATGTTATGGTTTAAGGTCCTTTTGACTGATTTTGATAGTTAAAAATAATTGACTGCTTAAAAAATTTGACATATTAATTGTACATAAATGAAAAAAAGGCCAGACTGAGTTAGGCTTCTTCTCAGTGTCATGCCACTTTATAGCCTTAGTAGAAGCATATTAAATTTGACAAATAAAATTAGTTATGTGATTTCAATGACAATAAAATATATACATTTTAAAACATTGTAACACTGATGAAACCAAAGTCCAAAAACTTATCATAATCCTTTAAAAAGTATTATTCTCACCTCATCATGAAAACTATGGTAAATACTGATATTGAGACCTGCGCTTTTATTAATTCTGTTCATATGATACTGAAAGTTGGGGCCATGGCCATCCCTATCCTGGTCTCGGTTAGTCACAAACAGAAAAGCATGTATCATTTCATGGAGGAGTGTTTCAACCAAATCTTTACGAGGTCGGAGCTTTAGCAACGGTTCACTTAGTGCTATGTCACATAGGCCTCCTCTACCTTCATAGCTGAAAAGAGCACACTGATATCATATTTTAAAGCAATGCTTTTCTGTCTTTTTCTATCAAATCAAATCAAATCAAATCTATAAAAAAAAGAAAGAGAAACTTAGAAAAAAATACAATCATGACTCGATTGACAGGGCTAGTTGTTGACATCCAGCATATCAATAAAAAACCGATAATTTGCTGATAAAGGGTCTCTTAATAAGCGCTTCTTATGTTTGAGCTAAAAAAATTATGGAACACTCAATTTTTAAACCTGGGTGTGAATCAAAATCACTGATCTACACTACACTAGATCAACAGGCCCTTCAAAGTACAGGAAAGAACTACTCTTTCCACTTGAATCCCCTGACTCAATCTCCCAGGGGATTGTACAGCACTCACTAGTCCATTTCGCCCCGCTACGGGATTACACAACATTCCACTCCGATCCCCTTTTTAGATTGGCTCTTAGATATCCCCCTTGTGGGTGTTCCCATTCTACTCCTTAAAGGGTGCGTGCGCTCCATAGTGCGCACCTAAAAATCAAATATAACAAATATCATAGTCGGTCATTTTATGATAGAAATGTTTAAATAAATTAAACTATATTTGATATTTAATCTTATAAATATTAGAACTTGTTGAGTCCCCAGCATAGGGGATCTAAGTGGAATAATGAGTGTTGTACAATCCCCTGGGAGACTAAGTCAAGGGATTCAAGTGGAAAGAGCTGAACGAACTTCGTACTACAAATAACTACATTTCGTTATATAGTATACATAAGTATATTTTGCAATCCTTTAATTTAAACTACTTACGAACATATCCCAGCACAGGAGTACATCCTTTTACTCCATCTCACAACGGCTCTGCTAGCGAGTTTTGTCGAAAAAAATTCCTTATCAAAATGTATAAATAACGTATGCACATTGGGCGTCGGATCAACCAGCTCCAATTCAGGGTCTGCTAGATTCATCATTTTTAAGCGGTATATTTTTGAACAATAATAAACATTCTTTTTTGACTTAAGCTACCTGTTGACATGACAGATTAAACTTGACACTAGCTATTTGGTTGTCAATGTTGGTATTAGTACTGTACTACGAGTATATTTGAAAAGATTGGTAGAAATTGGTAGGAATATTTATGATGACTTGAAATGTTGCAAGTTCTATAGTTAACAAAATAATAATAAGATATTGTACTACATTCACACAACGCCATCTAGTCCCAAACAGAGTAAACAGAACTTGTACTATGGGTACTAGACAAGTGATAAAAATACATATATATCAGTATTTTGTAGAAACATACATATTTAATCATAGAAGCATCCAGACCAAATCAAACATTAAATTTCATTCACACAAATATTACTTTATTATGCGGGAATCGAACCCGTAACCTTTCATATAGCAGTCCGTTACACAAACTATTACGCCATCCGGCCGCCTGATGGGAAGAGCACTTATATTATTGTAGAGAAAAAGCATTTGGCCCTTGATGGCAAATACAAAAAATTAAAAAAATTAAAATACAGTAAAAACTCATCACGCTTCTTTTAAAATCAAAATACATTTTCTACGTTTATTTTAAATCTAAGATCTTATCTATCTGAGGTGTATTTATATTATTTTGAACTATTATTAGTTATTTTGTTGTAAATCGTATAAAATGTTATGAATGTGCATGTGATTATGCGTAAACGAAATACTTAGTGTTGAATAGTTCGTAAAACACTTCTAGATGAAATGATACTCGTACATGCTTTTCTGTTTGTGGCTAACCGAGACCAGGATAGGGAATGCCATGGCCCAACTTTAAATATCATATGGACAGGATTAATAAAAGCGCAGGTCTCAATATCAGTATTTACCATAGTTTTCATGATGAGATGAGAATAAAAATTACAAATTCAGTAACGTTTTGTTTTAGGCCTGTGAAAAAAAAGTGATGCCAGGAATTGCTAAACTGACATGGACGTCAACCATGTCAGACGCGTATATTGCCGAGTGTGTCCAGCAAATAGGAGAAGTAACTATAACAATTTTCTACTCTAAAAAATTCTTAATGGTTTATTTGATGTATATCTTCAGCTAGATTTTAATTTTTTTCCTTATAATTCTATGAATACTTGTAAAGTGGCTTTCACAACACTAGTTTTCTTGTTAAACCCACAATCTATTTTTAAACGACTTCAAAAAAGGTGGAGGTTCTCAATTCGTTGGAATCTTTTTAAATGCTCATGTGTTAGAAGGAAGTTACGTCAGTAGTGCACTGGGTTGTTGTTGGTTTGAATTCTAATATTCTAATATTTGATCCCAGGTCCAACACCATAGCCACTGCTGCTGATAGTAAAAATATAATGAATACACGATTTTATCAATTAATCATCACTTTGATACGTTGTTGATTATAATACTTATTAATTTATTTCTAGCTTCAAGATTTCTTAACAACTTATAAGACTTGCAATGTAAATTTAGTGAAAATATTTGAAAAAATATGTGACACCCCTTATATTGAATTTGATATTTATAATGTTTTCGAAATAAAAGTCTTACGAGCTAAAATACGAGAAATGGAAAACGATGCGGCTGAAAAGATATTAGAAATGTATAAAGAGATTGTTATTTATATTGTTATAGTATATGAAGGATTTGAAGCATATATAGGGCAGGTAAGCCAATAATAAAAGTAACAAATGGTTACCCACATTTGACAACCCTGCTTGATGGATTTAATCGTTTTATTTTCTTTTATGAAAGATGGCAGAACATTGGGTCAAGTATGTAAGAAGATTTGATAGGCTTATGGAAGATGCTCTGAGACTTTCAATAAAATCAACAATGCAAAATATGTACAAGTGTGTGCATGGAGACGGTAAGTATAATAACAGAAATATTGTATTGAACTTATTTTAGACTAGTAATTAATCACCTCAATCATCAATCGTGGCTTAAATTTGAGGTATTCGTAAGGCCTTATAACTGATCGTCTACCATTTGCGTCCAATATATGGATAGTAATAATGCTTTAATGATTGAAATCAATCAAAAATCGTCAATTCGATAGTGCACTAGTATTACTACTTCAGATGGAACGAAATGATTCTGTTATGATTTTTTCTTGTTCAAAGGAACTTTAAACACAATTTAAACCCATTAGGCTTGCCTTTGCCAGGTCGGCATTGGCCTAATTGTCTAGATTGAATCTAATAGGACGGCACTAATTTAATAATATAAACAACTGCGCGTTTAAGAAAGTATCTGATTTACCTTACGATTAGGGGTGTGTTGCTTCAGAGCGCAATGTACGAGGGAAGTGTGAAGAAAAGCATTTTTAATTTTACAACAATGCAAAAACGGTCACTGTAAATAAGTAGGATTATATGATTGTGTGATTTTTAAAATCTCTTTTTTTCTAATCTTTTCTAATATTGATCAAATATATGATGTTTAATTTAAATTATTGAAACATATAATGTAATAAATGAATAATAATTTTTTTATTAGGTACTATGGCACCTGCACCACTCATCAAAATGAATCTTTACCTTATAAATAAAGATATACATTACGTACCAAATAGATACGAAATAATGGATACATTCACAACAATATTGGAAGAAATTGTGCATATCATGACTTCGATTCCTCGTCTGTATGAAAAGTTTGGCCTACCATCAGGAGGAACGAAGAAGTTTTACGAAGCAATCCAAGTAGATCCTGATTGTAATAAGCTTCAAACGTTTATTGATGATGGTAAAGTATATTTATCCGTCCGTCCGTGTGGTGACGGATTAAGAATACAGAGTGTCACCACCCCTATTCATCCCGTGGGTGTCGTAAGAGTCGACTAAGGAAGCAAACTACGCTGAATAACAGCACTGCAGAGAGAAGGAAAACTTTGACACAAACCCTATACCAAACCGTCTGGCCAGCGTGGTGTAGTAGGCCAAAACCTCCTTTCTAAGGAGAGGCCTATGTCCAGCAGTGGACTAGTGTAGGCTGTTGATGATGGTGATGAAAGTATATTTATTAATGTTATATATACGTTATGAAGTATGAAATCGATTGACAATTGCCAGATTGTTCTAATTGCAAAAAGTGGTGGTGTAGAGTAACAAGTACAGATTTAGTAGTTTAGTTTTTTTTTTTTTTTTTTTTAGTTTTATTTAGTAGGTTTTTTTATTTTTATTTATTTACTTTATATTATCTACTTATATAAAGTAAATAAATAAAATCTGTATACTAGACATTATCTCTTTTTGCCATGCCGACTGTTGAAAATAGTAATAATATCAAAACAATGTGATTACAGAGATTGAATACAACATTGCATTAGTACTTGATCATCTAAAAATGTGGGATCCCTATGCTCATATATGGAAAGTCGACAAAGACGCGTTCTTGCAACAATACCGCGAAGAGAAACACACGGCTGCTGAATTTGATGCTCTCATTATTAACTATAACAACCTTGCTAACTCCGTTCAAATATTGGAGACTATAAATCAAGTAAATAAAACAAATAATTATTATAATAGCAATATTATCTTGGCATTGGATATTTCCTTTTAAGATTATTTTATTTCCAGATACATTTTGTGACGCTAAATTCAAGCGAATTAAAGAAATCTATAATAGCGCATTGTATTGTTTGGCAAACTAAGTTGGGTGAATTGTTGAGAACGATTACGGAATGTGACATTGACGTTGTTTATAATTATGTTGAGAAGAGTAGTGAAGAAGCCATGAAGGTAAGAACGAAGAAAAGAAGAAATATTTTCAAATAGGAGATGCAGTAAAAAAAAGGTTTACTGTATGTATTTGTCTGAAAAGTATAAGGTGTCTGGAAAGTGTTTTAAACCGCTAGCTTCAAATTTTTGGCTACATTATTCGTCGATAGGTCCATGGTGTATTGTCCTTCAGGGTGTGACAGCAAGTGGGTGTTTGTTGGACGAACTTTTATTATAAAGCAAGAGAACTAATGGGAAAACCATGCCTCGGAACATATGGGCCAGATCCACCGGAGTGTTACCACGGCCACGCAAGACTGTTATTAAGCAACTGTTTTGATTCATTGCTCTTATTTTGATGGGGGAAAGGGGTGTTCACTTTAAGGACAACAACAAACTTGGTTCTGCAGTTCAAGATGTCCATGGGTGGTGATAGCCACATACCATCAGATAAACCGTAAAAAAATGTTTAACGAGATGTTTTTTATAGATGCCAAGTGACTTGAAGGAGCTTGCTAGTGCCATTGCCACCTACGAGCGCTTGATTGGAGACCTCAATAGGATGGAAAAGACTTTCCCACCTATTACTGATCAGATGATAACGCTTGGTATGTCTCATCATGAAACATTTTGTTAAGGGAAATGATAGTGAAACAATTATAGAAACTCGTACATTAATAGTAAAAATTATTAAGAAGTTTCTAGTTATTGCAGCGTTAAAATTAGAAAATATATAAATACCCATGTAACTTAAGTGGTGGTCGAGACATAGAGACTAGACTTTTAAAATCCTTTTATAATATTTTAAACTAGCTGACCCGCGCAACTTCGTCTGCGTCTCTCAATAGTAATAAATTTTCTCCGTTTTTGAAACATTCTTCATTGGTGCTCCGCTCCTATTGCTCTTAGCGTGATGATATATAGCCTATAGCCTTCCTCGATAAATGGGCTATCTAACACTGAAAGAATTTTTCAAATCGGAACAGTAGTTCCTGAGATTAGCGCGTTCAAACAAACAAACAAACAAACTCTTCAGCTTTATAATATTAGTATAGATGCTAGCAGTCGGCGATAGGCACAGATAGCTTCAGTAAACGTGATCCACAGAAAGATAATACACAACATATCAACATCGCCTTTGGACAGGTTGTTTTTTTAGATGGTATTCGAATAAAAGACTGCAACCGCCAAAATGAAAATCTCTAGATTACTTATTTCTAAATTTTTTGAATGGGTTACTAGCACGAACATGATTGGCGGCTCTTTGTCAAAGATTGAAACGTATTTTACTGTGTCGGTTAGGCGTTATAACGTGTATCTTTAATAAATATGTTACTACTGCATTACGCACTAATTATGTTGTAAACTTCATTAGAAGTATACTAACCTTAGTGCAAAGTCCAACATTACGCTTTATTTTTGTAAAAATTACCTGGAAGTTCTCTCGAAATAAAACACTTAAAACTCACATTACAAGCATGGTATTACTGGATACATTATAATTATACTATACTTGATTTCCTTTTAGCGAAATTTGAGGTAGAACTAAGTTCGGATATGGTAACACGACATGAAAATATTCCCGAGCTGTGGTCAGATTATTTAGGTTTGTTGGAAGAAGCCAAGAAGGCTCTTGAACTTAACAAGGACAAATTCAAAGCTGAACTTCTAGAGCAAGCCGAGGTAATGTAACGTAAAATGTTATAAGTTAATTATGTTATACACATAAAACTACAAAAAAATAGGCATTGATACATATATATGTTTAAGATATAAAATGTTCCTTTTTGTAAATTAATCCTATTCGTAACAGGTGTTTAAAGAAGCAGCTAAAGATTTTTGTGAGGATTTCTATAAGACGTCACCAGTTAGCTCTGATATCTCGGGCAAGGATGCACTCTCACAGTTGAAGGCTTTTAGAGATCAATTAAATGCTTTGCGAGCTCAAGAACAGCAAATACGAGATGGACTTGCTGTGTTTAATTTAACGTAAATAGCCCACCTAAATCCTGTAAAAAAAGTATTGCAAATAGTGATAGAAGTTTAGGTTTCGGGTCCATTTGGATTTGTAGAATGATAGAATGTCAACTTGAAGACTTGCATTCCATAATTAAGCATGTAATTATGCGTAGTAGTTACGGGTATGGTAAGGTTAGCTTCACCGGTCACGGCTAGTGCAACCTAATCGAAATATCACGCAATTTGTAGGTCAAAGGTGGTCGAGTTAAATCTTATAATCAACTACATAATTTATCATGGTAGATTGTTGTATCATATTTTTACTATGATGTATTTAGATAAGTTGCAGATTGGTTCTAAGCGCTCAGCAGTAACAATATCTTATTGGTTTATTAGAACTCCAGTGAATCTGGATCTTCAAAAAATGGAAAAGGAGCTGGAGAAACTCGAGGAAGTTTGGGGACTAGTTTTCCAATGGGAAGAGTCTTGGGAGAAATATAAAAATCAAACGTTTTGGGAAATGGAGACTGATGAAATGGAAGAAAATGTTTTGTTTTTGTTTAGGTAATTTTTTTCTTTCTGATTTTGATTTTTCGCTATTAACTTTCAGCTATTAATTTTCTTTTTGTTCTGGAATCTTTCAGAAACTTCAATCGTTTATCTCGACAGCTGAAAGATAAGGGCTGGGATATTATTGATACAACTCGCGTTAAAGTTGATGCTTTCAGGAGAACATTACCTTTGATTGGAGATTTGAAGAACCCTTGCATGAGAGAACGCCACTGGGATAGAATCAAAGTGCTAATGGGAGTGTAAGATACGATTTAATGCAAACTTTATTATCTTCTTATTATCTTTCTTGGGGGGGAGGGGGGAGGTCTATGTCCAGCAGTGGACGTTGATGATGATACAGTTATAACGAACACAAAATAAATATATTTGTAAATGAGAGTATTTTCGTAAAATATTTATCGGCATAGGTAATTTCTAGTAAATTAATTCATAAATATCACAGAGAGTTCGATCAAAACTCTGAAGATTTCAAGCTTGAGTTGATCATGCGTTTGAACTTCCAAGCATATGCTGACGAAATAGCTGAGATATCTAACGCTGCTACCATGGAGCTGAATATTGAGAATGGACTGAAAGCCATCAGAGAGGTGTGGAAGAATACCACGTATGAGATGCAGCATCACAAAGGAGATATGTACAAGTTAAAAAGTGTGGAGGAAGTCATGCAGGTTATATTCAGTTTTTATTAAATTGTTGGAGTTTTAGATTCATTTATATTGTATCACTAAATCTTTAAAGGTATATGCGAAATTTAGTCTAAAATAGATTAAGAACTTAATAGGAACCAGACGAGAAGCTCAATTTATTGAGTCTGATGATAATATGAAATAGTGTCAAACATTATATTGTACGTAATTATAAACTATTAAAATCCTACTCAAGTTGTCTTTTTTATCTTCCAAACGGACCATAAAAAAACAAGTTGCTGTAACGTGTCGCTGGACTATATATAGTTACTTTTGGACTCTTGTGCCATAGATAAAACAGAAAAAAGTTTCTAATTTACCTAGGTACAAGATTTATCATTATTCAATAATTTTAAATGTCATAGCCGTAGTATATTTTTTTCAATAAAAGTTTCATTATAAACTTCAGTACTAATGCAATTGATTATATTATATTAACTTTTATTACATCCTTTAGTTCCTGGAAGATCATCAGGTTCAACTTTCTTCAATGAAATCAACTAAATATGTAGAACCATTCATAAAAGAGGTAGAATATTGGGAAAAGTCGCTGGGTTATGTGGCAGAGTGTATTGAAGTAAGCCGTCTTATGTATACGTATTGTACTGTAATAATGGTAAATACTGATAAGTCAAACTCGTTTTAAATTATTGTTGCTTAGATTTCTCTGCAAGTGCAAAGGCGGTATCTTTATCTTGAAGCGATTTTTGCCGGTGAGGATATTAGAAAGCAATTACCGAAAGAAGTACTTATTTTTGATGCATTGACTGCTGACTGGACAGATATAACTTTTAAGTGAGTAATACAACTATAAAGCGTTAGTGAACTTACAACATTTTGAATAGAATTAATAAACATATTTATTACTTTTAAAATAGTATGCATGCTGGTGCTAATGCAGTCGAAGCTTGTTTGTATAAACCGTCTCCTTACTTGTATAATAAATTAAATCAAATGGGGGACAACTTAGACGGTATTCTACGAGCGTTGGAGAAATATCTTGAAACAAAACGGCAAATATTTCCGAGATTTTATTTTATATCCAACGATGATTTACTTGAGATTCTTGGTAATTCAAAAAGACCGCAACTCATTCAAGTGCATTTGAAAAAGCTGTTTGACAATTTGGTTAAAATAAGGATTGATAAGGTAACTAGCACGTAATATTTGTGATCATTTAAGTAGTTTGAACGTTTAAAAAAATAAATAGTAGTTAAATAAAAATAATTAGGTGACAAACAAGAAAAGTTTGGTTTGGCACGTACCTGAAGTACTCCTTTATTAAAATAACTAATTTATTTTATTTTTATTGTCATTAAGTTGCTGATAAAACAAATAACGAATACAAATCTTTGGAATCTTTGGAAAATGTTATTACACCAACCACTAAATTATAGTGTAGTACGAATTTACAAAACCATCTGGCATTACTCAGTTGTCAATGTCATTCGATTTCATGTACAAATTTTAAAACTGTATAGTTTTCTTAATTTAAGGGAACTTGATAAGTTTAATATTTTGTCGTAACTTTCAAAATATTTCAAATATCTTTAACCTTTGTGCCTTGTTTACTTTCACTATAAGTTAATTTTTGTCTCGGTAAACAATCTATTATTCATTCACGAATTACGATTCGTAATACCTAAAAGGTTAGGACTTTATTACAAAAACTATAGAAATAAATAAGAGTTTTTGAATAATATCATTGAATTTAAAAAAGATATTGATTTTTCATCACTATGTCACCGCGAAATATGAAGGATATTTTAAAAGACTGTCACTTCGTGCCTATGACAACAATGGTAAGTATGAGCCAGTTATTCTTTATGTTGATATCTAAAACTTATTAGTGTTCAGAATTTAAAAATAGATAAATTCGTAGATTTAAAATAAATTGAGTCTTACGACATTAATTATAAGGTTCAATAAATAACCTTTATAATTTTCTTCTCGTTTAAATTTTTTAGAAAAAAGTAATTGATTTGTTGGAGACACAACAAGAGTTTGATCCAATAGACACTTATTGTAAAAGGAATCTTGTTAAACTACAACAGAGTAAAATGATTGGTGGGAAGAATTCTCCTTACGGCAAAAAGTTTAAGGCTGCATTTCGCACAGCTTGTTGTCGAGCAATATACTCTCATGACTGGAATAAACTGTTGTATTTACTCAAAAAATGCCCTCCATGGGAGCATGATTGGAAGGATGTCAATGAAGCTGCTTTATATGTGCGGGTTAGTATTGTCTATATTATTTTTGTTCACGCCGTGTCTTAATGGTGGTGCGGCGGAAGGAGTTTAAACCGGTTACTCGCTGGTTATGCGATCGCCCCACCTTCACCTCTACGCGCCGACATTCGACGACTTATTTTGCCTATGTATACACGTCTTACATTATGTACTAAATATTATATACATTTCGAATATTGTAAGTTTCGCTAATTATAATACAACTGAATGCTTGGAGCGTCTGTGTTTCAATTGGCCAACCCAAGACACCAGTATTCATCAATTTTTGTCTGTCTTAATATATTTTTTTATTTACAAGTTTAACCTCTCGTATGCTGCGAAAAGCGCGACATGTTGCAAAATGCCACTACCATGTAAAATGCCTTCACCGCAGAGCGCTGATCAGTGTAGCGTAGCACCCAGTGTAGAAGTTTAACTAAAAATAATTTTGTTTAGAAATGGGTGGTTTTACTCTAAAGATTAAAAATGGCATTTTATGTCTGATGATGAAACTTGTTGTGGTTTATATTTATCAATATAATCGATGACAATAATGACTTCATTGGAAAGTTTTATTAGCGGGTTTTATTTCCACTCAGTGCAAATATTCATATCCATGAATGTCTACTTGCATTGATAAAAATATTTTCATTCTTCAAGCCATAGAACAAACTGTGCTAGGTTGATATACAATAAAGCCTATGTTTTAATCTTAATTATAAATTATGTATCCATGAAATTGCATACAAGCTATTCAGCCATTTTTTGCTTTAAGGTACATATATTTATGCTTTAGGGTAACAAATGTTTTTGTTTTAGAGTAACAAACATGTATGCACAAACTTTAAATTAAATGGGCCTATTGGTCTAGTGATTAGTGACCCTGACTGCACACTCCGGGTGTCTGGGTGTAATTTATTTATAGTATGTATGTATTTAGAAATACATAAGTATGTTTATCAGCAGTCTGGTTACCATAGTACAGGCTCTGCCTAGTTTGGGATCAGACGGCCGTGTGTGAAAAAAAAAAAAAAAAACATAAGTAGGATAATTATAATTTGTAGGTGAAAAGAACTTTTGTGTAAAGATGACTTTAATTTTTACATAATCTGTTTATCCTTCACAGGCTCTACTGATTCTTCTAATGTATCATCCAACTTCTCAAGCGCAAGGGCTATTCAATGAGTACTTACATCTAGTTTGGTCGTGCCGGTCTGATGATGATAAGAAAGCCATCTTGAAGATCATGTTAACGTTACCTGAAAAATTACATGGTGTGACTTATGGAAGATATGTTAGTAAAGATAAATGAACCATGAGAGAACAATATGGTTTGTGTATTTGGATGAAATAGAAGACCTGTGCTCATGATGCTGATACCAAATCTTGAATTTTCAAATTCCATAATGTATGATCTACATCTATAAAAGAAGAAAATGTCAGACCGATTTTCTGACTGGTCGCACAGCAGAAACCGCTGGGTCTAGAAGCATAAAATTTTGCACAAATGTGCCTTAGGTGATGTAGGTGTGCACAAAGATATTATTTTTAAAAATACCAGCCTTAAGGGTGTAAAAGGGTGGTAGTAGCGTTTTCAAACCCACAATAAATACTCTTTATTTTGAATATTATTTTATTAATATACCTATAATCTTAATTTATTGTATCCTATGTCTGATGTCGACAACCACGCGGACGAAAACCTAGTTATATATAGGGGGCGGAACAAGCAGGTAGGTCAACAGCTCATAAATGACCACTGCCAGTTCCGTCCATGGACCCCAGTACCTAAGGTGTTGAAAGATTGATTCGATGAGTGGTAACCAGTACCATAGCATAGGCTCTGCCTAGTTTGGGGACAGACGGCCGTGTGTGAGGTGTGCGAGATATATACGTATTATTATTGTATTATTCATAAATAGTTCCAGACTTTACAATTATTGGAAACATTATGAGTGGGAAATGTTATGAATATTTTAGATGCTAGGTATTGTATTGGCAGTGTTTTTGTATGTCTCTAGAAACTCGTAAATAGATTTCGAAATGGTATACACACACAATAAACAATAGTGTTAGGTGGAATTTTGTTGCAATTTCACAAAAAAGGACAATCATTTTTCTGAAACTTTTTTAAAACTGTTTAAAATTGTAGTAGTGGTTAAACTTAGCAATGGACCACTATTTATGCCGCATCCTTTATGGTACGTTTTATTGCTGCACTTAGTTGCCTCCATTGTATTGATTCCTTATGTGTGTAATGTATGTATTTTAAAAAATACAGCTATGTGATATAAAGTAAGAAATATAGTTGTTAATGGAAGACTCATCTTATTCATGAATAAGTTTTTAATAAAAAAAAAACTACTTTTATTTCATTGAAAAAAATGTTCAAGACTAAAAAAAGGTTATATGACTAGTGACTAGGGAACACTTGACGGTTGAATTTAGGCCGTTGTGAATGTCTTTTTTTGTTTCATTGACCAATATAACTTGAACTTTGATCGTATAGATTTTTGTACTGTTACATATTTTTATTTATTTGTTAAAACCAAATTACAACAAACTTAAAACAAAAATAACAGTAAACATTCTGGCACAAATAGTAGTTGAACTCTGGTACGTGCTGAAAAATGTAACTTGTGTAAAAATGAAAATGTAACAAAAGTGAAGGTGTAGCGACTTCCACATAGAACGAAACGCAGAAACATACTACAGCGCCATCTAACGAAGACACATCGAACTACGGAGTAACTCCTAAATGAGAATTGCAAATCCTGTATCGCGATATGAAGAATACTCTCGCCGATTAGCATATATACCACTTCCCTACATAAACCGTTGGGCCGCGGCCCGCCAGGATAATCACCTCGGCTGGTCGGAGGATCCTCCCTTTGCGTTGGACGAACCCGTTCCTCCACAAAGGCAAGCACAAAATGACAATTTAAACCAACTAGATTTAAAATTGAAATAAGTATTAATAAAAACATGCTAACAAAAATAATGCAACTTAGGTGGTAACAAAGCAATTAATTGAAACATAAATTATTTCAATATAATTAAAATTAAGAATCAAAATTAGAATCTAAACCAAAATTGAAATCAGAATCAAATAAATCTTAAACATATATATATATTAAATATATATGCCTGTATAACTTTAAATAGGTAGCTATTTTTAACTTTAACATTAGCGGTGTAACAAAGAATGTTCTTCATGTATAGAGATATCTCCGTTTTTGAGTAGATACAACATGATTCGTTATTAAATAGCATATAAATATTTCACTGTCTCTTTAAACTATGACAAATTGGTTAAAAATATAACACATTAACTGGCTTCAATCTCAGTTTCAATTTTTAACTTGATCATTTTACCTAAAATTGTTATCGTAATTAATTATCTTTTACATTTTCATGTTGGGAATTGATCTTGACATAACTGTGGTTTTAACTAGAGATGCCACTGTGATTTGGCCGAATACCGAATAACGAACATTCGGCAACACTTAGTACCTTTCGCGGATTTAAATCTGAATCAGTAACATGATCAACAAACGCAAAACAATATTCTAACCTAACAGAATTTACTAAGATTTATTTATCATCTCCCGGAAGCAGTAATAATTTATGAGGAAAAGCGCGATCGTTTCCTGTCAACAAATGCTTAATTTTTTTTAAGTATTAAAATGATGCTATTGGTAAAATAAAAATCCTTGTGAGTAAGATTATGCATTCTTTTCTTCGTGATTTACTATTCGGTGTTCGGCCGAATACGGAACAGTAAAAAAAAAATGGCCGAATAGCCCAATACCGAATAGTTGCCGAATATTCGTGTCATCTCTAGTTTTAACAAAATGGATTTTGCAGAATGCTCTAGGTGTGCCCGTAGCCAAAGCCATGTTGTCTGAAGATGGCGAGTGTATTGAGTGGAAATATAATGTGATCTTGGACGGACCTGCTGAAGTTTGGCTGCTAAACCTCGAACATGTAATGAGAGTCGTGCTCAGAGATGTAATTATTTTAATTTTCTTAAAATGTTTCAATAAACTGTGTTGCGTAGATCTGAGTAGCTATTGTTTTAAAAAATTACTGCGCCTGGTAGTAGAAACGAAATACCTGGTCAGTGGTACGAAGTACTTTTGATTTTAATCATAATAATAATATTTCGGATATCTAACACACATCGCCATCTAGTTTCATACTAAGCAGAGTTTATATTATTATATTGACTGATTATACACGGTGTTTTTTTAGGCGTTTTGGAAACGAAACATTTTAATTTGGAATCGTCTATAGTACCAATAAAAATGATTAAATCAATTGTAATGTTGTCTAAAAAAAAGTTTCAGTTTTAATATTCATTTTTACTCGATCGACTTGGAAAGTAGTAATGGACTGATCATTCATTCATTATCTTATATGAATGAAACACGTCCGTGGGCGTTTCGGCGGCCGCTGCGTACCGCTGACGCTAACAGCAGCTGATAAAAGTATACCTATAGGCGCGAGCTAGCGAGTACTTACGTAGATAGACTCCAATTTGTCCTTCATACTTTACACGGGCTTAGGATCGTCGGAAATACCTATTTTATTTAAACTTCTTTTCGATTATTAACCACGATTGTTCTTTTCACAACAAATCAATTTATCAACGGACTGTAGGTATAAATATTTCAAGCGTATTTAAAAAATCGGAGCTATCTACAGAATAATTAACTTACATACCTATTTACACTATTTACACTTCTCTGTATCGAAGCAACTGCTCAAAATGGAGTCCGCTGCATTCAATACACAAACGTCCACCTTTAATGCAATTGTTTTTTAATTTTCTTAATGTGTCTCTATCACTTTTCACTTTATCAAAAGCGTCCACTATCGCAATGCGTAAATTATCACGGCTTTCATATTCCCGTGTATAAACAAGTATTTTTATTTCCGACCATAAGAAAAAATCCAGGGGCGTTAAGTCCGGGCTTCTAGGTGGCCAAGGCACTGGCCCTCCTCGACCTATCCACCGATCACTAAACTCATTGTCCATGTATGCACGCACTACACTCCGGCGAATAATAATTTAAACGTCCTTGACCTTGCGCGTGAGTATAGTATTTCTATTCGTAGTATTTACCTACTTGCGATTGAAAAGCCCTACTACTGGTTCTCACCTTTTCTCTGTAATCGATATGAATATCGACTTTGATGATAAAAAATATATATATTTTATTAAATTAACGTTATATATAGATTCTGTTACTGATAAATAACTCAAAATTTTCTTTTCCAAAACGCTTTCAAAATCACCGTGTATACTTTTTTTTTGTAAATACACTCCGAAACAAATATATGCAGATCATACAAACATTTGATCCGACCCGGGAATCGAACCCTAATCGAATGAACTATTCCTAGAGAAATTGACACTAGACCATACTAGTTGAGTGAAGAAACGAGTAAGTTACATTTTACACACATGTAAACGTGACTAGGTGTTTCCTTTGCGTGTGTACATAAGTACAATCATGATAATTGCCATTATATTATCAATTACATACATAGTAGAAGTTAATTTCAATCAGTACAGCTAGTAGGAATTTTGCATTTTACTAAAATTACTCGTGAACAAAGATTACCCATAGTCATGTAGAGACGGTTTCTGACCAGAGATTCTTCTAGATGTACCTAGTAGGTATATTTTTGATTTAGTAATGTATGTAAGTAACTACAAGTAAAAGTATGCTATTTCGCAAATATACTGTCACAGAGCTTAGCCATAATTTGTAGAGGCTCTAAGGTTGTTGTATAAACCTAATAGTAACCACAAACTTGGTAGCTAATCCAAATAGGTGTAGGTAGGTATTACTTTGTAAAAGAAGTTGTATCCTACCAAATGAATATAAATTTTTCCTCCGTCTGGATTTGTTAGGTGTTCAATGACAGGTGGTATTTTCGTTTTAATTTGTGGTAAAAGTATAGGACTGTCGTTCTTCGTCGCAGATAATGGACGACCTGAGAGATATATTGGCTTATGTTAGATATATTTCTTGGATATTTACTGCATCATATTAAAACTTACACAATAATAACAGCACTTAACAATAAAGGCTCGATGAATCGATGGGTCTCATTTAAAGTAAATCTAAACATGACTCTAATGTATCTTCAGTAATCAGTTGCTCCCCTGGGCTCGGCTAGACCCATGATATTACTTAGTAAGTTAATATATTAGAAACATGGGATTAAAACAATGTTGTTGACTGACCTGTCGGTATAGAGGCTAGTGACCCTGATTCTAAGCCGGGGTTCGGTTCCCACCCAGGAGAAACCATCAAAATTGTTGTGTAATAAGAACGACCATTTGTTCGGTGTCTGGGTGTTATTTATCTAAATTATGTAGGTATGTATTAAGAAATATTTCAGTATGATTATCAGCAGTCTGGTTACCATAGTACAGACTGCATAGTTTTTCACGGCCGTGTGTGAGATGTGTGAAGCTGTTATTAATATTATCATTACTTAGACGTTTATTCTTATAGCAACTGATACTGACGCGAGCAGCGTTGAGAAAATGTCGGTACCAGCGCGAGCAATGGATTAACGACTGGCCAGGACAGCTAGGGATTACTTGCAGCAAGGTTGGTGATGCCGTTCATGCTCAGATGTTCATAAAAAGTATAGATACCTGAGGACAAGGCCCATTATGGAGACCGAATAAAAATGTTCCATTGATTCCTTTGTTGGTAGTCATCATTATCATCAGTCTTTAACAGTCCAGCGCTGGACATAGTCGGCTTACGACACCCACGGGATGAATAGGGGTGGTGACACACCGTATTTTTAATCCGTCACCACATGGACGTGTTGGAGCCTATTCGATCTCCATAATTCAAAAAGTGTTTATAGTGACAGTATAGAAATTAATATTAACAGAAAGTAACTAAAGCCAGTCTAGAGATGGCTAACCCATCCTAATGGGTACCATATTTGTCTTCAAATCCGTCGCCAGGTCAGATTTAAGTAGTGCTTCGAAGAGCTGCCAAGGGCCTATTGTTGCCACTGATGCCATTCATATCATGGCACATTAATAAAAATGGTCATATTAAAAATGCTTTGAAGGTAAAATTTGAACGTTTTGATCTCATCATTTTTTGGTTTACTTTAAAGAAACTTTCTGCAAACGAGCAGACAGGTAAGTGACTACCGTCGCACTTCACTCGAATAAAATTCGCAAGTACATTGCCTTGTATTTGAGTTATCTTAGGGGGTTACTAACACCGAATTTCTGTGAGGCCGTGGTATCACTTTGGCCGAGCTTTCCCATTGTGTCGAAGAATGGCTCTCACTCTCAATCGTAATTGTTAATCTTTTTCAACTGCCTACCCTAAGATCCAATGGACTTCAGACTGCACTCGTACTCTTGCTCGTTGCGATATAATGCAAGAGAAGAAACCTTTGAAGAAGTTACGTAAAAAGCAAAACCTGATCCTGGCTACACTCCAGGCGATGTCCAGAAAGGAAATCGGGAAGATCTTACGTTGCAAGGTTAATGCGTTGTGCGTCATTGAGATCCATTCCAGGGATACTGTTGAAAAGATGTATAAGATGGGTAAGTGATAGATTTTAGTTATAAATTTTTGGATGTAGTGGTTTCTGGCCCACGCAAGTTGTACGTCTTAGGTTTCCAACTTATTCCGTTGTGTCTTTCCCGACTTGTAAAAATATCTGAAAAGATTTACTTACAGAAATAAATATCATTTATCATTTGTTGAGTTATGGCTGCTGGTTTTCTGGTTGCAGGAGGTTTTATACTACTCATTAAAGTCCGTTTCTCGCATCAAGACTTTCTTTATAGGGTGAATGATGGTGATTTGTTGGTACATAATAATATGTAGTCATAATAAATTTTTTGGTTAATTAACCGTGTTAAGTACCTACCTACACAAAAAAATGGATAACAATAAAAATGGCCTGAAGTTAAAGCCCACAAGTCCAAGGTTAACTTCAGGCCTAATGCTGGGTTACAAAATAATAGTGTAGGAGGTATTTGTAAGTAACTTTTTTAAACTTTAATCAACACAATAATATAAAAAAAGGAAAATGAGTCGCGACTGGAATATTTAGGATAACTTTTTTAAGCAATTGATATCATTTTTTCTATAGGTTGTATGACAGTATCCGCATTCGAATGGTTCTCACAGTTGAAATTCTACTGGGACCGTGAGAGGGAAGACTGCTACATCAGGCAGACCAACACTAGCTCAGTTTATACTTATGAGTACATTGGGAATTCTGGCCGACTCGTCATAACTCCTCTAACAGACAGGTGAAATATATTGTTTCATATTTAAAAAAAAGCACTACGTTTTTCTCTTGTGAAGTTTGTGAAGAATTGTATTTTTGTTCTTTATCCGTATATAAATGTAGACACCTCATCGGGGCTCATGTTTCAAGGTGAAGTGGTAGGTGGGAATTGAACTGACTAAAACTAGGTGAAGAATTATAAATGAATAACATGAAGACGATAAACCTCCTTCCTAAGGAGAGGCCTATGTCCAGTAGTGGACTATAAGGGGCTGTTGATGATTGATGATGAACTTTAAGACTGGTAAACTAACTATTAAAGTTTTGTGTTCCAAGATTATAATTATTGCTGATGAACGCAAATTAAAACTATTCCTGAGTCTGCCTATGACCACGACCAGTGCAAACTGGTCGGAACGTCAAGTAATTCAAAAGTACACAATACCTAATAATCGCCTTAATTTCCCTTCGTTAGCAATAAGTATTTATTAAGACTGGTATAGGTACAATTTAAAAACGAACTGTTATATTAGCGAATTAAATTGTAATCGTAGACGGATTTCAAACTAAATTAATGTAGTCTAAGACCATCGTAATCAGAAGGGAAGGTATTTTTCTCTATGATTTAGTATTCAAGTCATTCCACTTCGAACTATGGGCCTCTTTACTTTAATTAATCAATCAATCAATCTTTATTGTGAAACATAGGTATACATAGGATGTTTACAGTAGTGGAATGATCATCTATGTTCTGACATTTAGACTTACCATAACTTTAAATTGTATGTAGTGACTAAATTTAAGACATGCAAATAGAACAATACAATACAAATTGAATTATCGAAATTAAAGCAATAAAAAAGTCACTTTGTCTTTTCATACCTTGGAATTTAAAACATGCAAAATCAATGTCTTAATCTCATAAATCTATACTAATATTATAAAGCTGAAGAGTTTGTTTGTTTGTTTGAACGCGCTAATCTCAGGAACTACTGGTCCGATTTGAAAAATTCTTTCAATGTTAGATAGCCCATTTATCGAGGAAGGCTATGGGCTATATATCATCACGCTAAGACCAATAGGAGCGGAGCACCAATGAAGAATGTTTCAAAAACGGAGAAAATTTATTACTATTGAGAGACGCAGACGAAGTTGCGCGGGTCAGCTAGTGATGTATAAAATTTTAGAACTAAGATGACAATGGAGGAATTACAATGTCAAATAAAAAATAAAAATAGAATTCGCTAATAGAAATATCGTTAAAATGATGTCAGAAATATGTAAATTGATTTATGTCAGTTAATTAGTTCATTATTCCTATTTCCCATCTAAAAATTCTCTTACATCATAGTAATATCCTTCAATTGGGCATTAATTCAAACCGAATGCAATGATCACATGCCCATTATCGACCTGCTATAATTAAGAGCATTTGGTTCTCCATAGATGTTACATAACACTAACCACTGCACTGAACCTATTCCGCGGCGGGAGTCCCCAGGGCCCCGCAGGCACTGGTAAGACGGAAACGGTGAAGGATCTTGGCAGAGCCTTAGCTAGATGGGTAGTGGTTACCAACTGCTCCGACGGACTGGACTACAAAGCGATGAGCAAGACGTTTGCGGGTGAGTAAATCTAGTCTTAAGGTCATCATCATCATCAGCCTATCGATTTTGGGCTTCTTGCATCCAGCTCCTGTCACTCCACCTGGCCTGTGGGCGTCCTACACTACGTTTGTCGAGACGCGGTCTCCACTCAAGAACTCGTTTTCCCCAACGGTTGTCCAATGACCAGCCATGCCATGCCACTTTAGTTTGCTAATCCGGCAGGCTATGTCGGTAACCTTGGTTCTCTGCCGGATCACCTCATTCCTGATGCGGTCCCTTAGAGAAACGCCTAGCATAGCCCTTTCCATAGCACGTTGAGCGACTTTGAACTTGTGGACCAGCCGTACCGTGAGTGTATACGTTTTGGCTTCGTATGTCATGACGTCTTAAGGTCGTGACAGCATAATTATGTTATGATTTTACAACATCTATACTCGCGCCTGAGGCCCATGAGATGTAGGCAGAGGCTCATGAAACACTTATTTTCTCTATAATTCACTCCTTCTTAGATAATAAGACCGTCAAATAGGACAAATAAATGTTGTCTCCAAAACCAAAACATCCTTTCTAAGGAGAGGCCTATGTCCAGAAGAGGACTAATAAAGGCTGTTGATGATGATGATGATGTTGTCTTCAATTATAACAACCTTACATCTCACACATGGCCGTCTGATCCCAAACTAGGCAGAGCCTATATTTATACGTTTCTAAAGACACACATATTAAAGTATGTGGTTACAGGTGTCAAGGTGTTAAAGTATGAAATTGCCGATTTGCACTGAAAATTGTAACTTATTTTTTCTAAGATTTAACATATTTATTTAATCAAAATATTTACCCTCATTATCTATATATTGCTGCCATCTAAACGGAAGTTCATTTATGCCTTTACGATAGAGCTCTGGAGATTTAGATTCGACAAACTGTATAAAAGTAGTTTGTACTGCCTCCTGGGATTTTTTATCACGTAGAAAATTATCCAAATCACGGAAAAGGTGGTAGTCCGTTGGAGCAAGGTCTGGCGAGTACGGATAATGACTTATGGTTTCTAACTGCAGCTCCTGTAGAGTTACAACGGTTTCCCGTGCAGTGTGAGGTCTTGCGTTATCATGGAGCAATAATGGTAAAGATCGATTTACGAGTCGGGGCTGTTTCACTGCTAAATTCGCCATCATTTTCGGCACAGTAAATATCTGCTGTTATTGCCTGACCAAAGCTGAGAAAGCTATAGTAAATAAGGTGTTATTTACTATAGCTTTCTCAGCTTGGTCTTGGTGGTCTATGCATGGTGATGAATAGACCACCAAACAGTTACCATTACCTTTTTATTGGTAAGCTTTAAGGCACTGTTGCGGCGTTTGACCTGGGGTCGGCCATTGCATTTTTCGCTTACGCTTATTGTAAACAATCCAATCCACAATCACATGTCACAATTCGTCCAATATTTCTTTACTTCTGTACCGATTCGACAAGGCAATACAAGTTTCGACACGCATTTCTTTCTGCAGATCAGTCAAATTATGAGGCACAAATTTTCATATTTTTATCCTATTGATTTGATGCAAAGAGTCAATATTATAGGTAGGGTAACGTTAAACCATGCAAATAATTCCTGTGTAGTTTGACTCCGATCGGCTTCCACCATCTCCTTCGATTCAGCGTTATTCACCTGTGTAGGCGGTCATCCACGTGGTTCGTTCTTCAGGTCGAAGTTTCCATCACGAAACCGTATAAACCAAAAACGCACAGTGCGTACATTAGTAGACTCCTCTACAAACGCAGCGTTACCGTTTCTGCCGCGTTGGTTCCGCTTCGGAACTCGTATTCAAAAATGACTCGACTTTTCGAAGTCTCCATCTTTTACGTCTAAGCTGAATAAAAAAAAAAACAATTGAAAGTCGAAAATCTATGCTACACATTTTTTTAAAGAAGAATCTCATAGGTATCATGCGAAAAAAGTTCCACATGAAAATCTCACACCATGAAGGTTTTATGTCAATTCAAAGTATCTATTACTTTACAAGGGCAATTTCATACTTTAAGTATATTATCCGTGTCGGATCCGTCCGTGTAGTGACGGATTAAGAATACGGAATGTCACTACCCCAATTCATCCCGTGGGTGTCGTAAGAGTCGACTAAGGGCGCAAAACAACGTAGGACACCAGCACTGCAAAAAGAAGGAAAACTTGACACAAACCCTATACCAACCCGCCTGGCCAGCTTGGTATAGTAGGCCAAAACCTTCTTTCTAAGGAGAGGCCTATGTCCAGCAGTGGACTATTAAAGGCTGTTGATGTGATGTGATGTGATGTTGATGAAGTATATTATTATGTTCTGTAGTCCATTCGCGTTAAAAAAATTATGACGCATTGATCAAGCCATGCCTTCTGATCTATCAGTTCCTAAGAAATTATCATTTTCGTACGAAAATGTGTCTGTGTGTTGTTTGTTTTGACGGGTTGACGTTCTTAGTTAATATTTGCGTGAATCACGGATATATTGCGGCCCTTGTGACTGTTTTCCTGACTTGATTTAAAACGATGTTATAATAAGTAATATCAACAACAAAATAAAGATAAAACAATGCTTTATTTTTATCTGCTTGTGTTTATTGTTTGTTTGATAAAAGCGGCATAGTTTAAATGTAGACTAATAAGGCTAAAACGACAACATATTATTTTTAACGAATTACAGTGATAACACATGTACGACTGTAGGTATTATTTGCATTTCCGTACTTGAAAGAAAGAAATGAGAAAGTGACTTCGTTTGTTACCCTTTCATCCTAAACCACTAAATCGATTTTAAAAATCCTTTAACAGCGATATAGGCAAAGAGAGTGATGGATAATATATAGATTCCTCTATCTCTTTCTAGTCGATCTCTGTGATTGCCTGGGAAACATGAGGGGTTAATTAATAGCCAATCGCAGCTTAGCTAAACAGAGACAGACAAAACTATCGGGCATCCATCTCTCTCGTTGCCTGTGTTGCTCCACTTACAGGACTTAAAGGTCTCTATGGTGTAAACCGTAGAACGAAAGTGTCATGTCGTTTATGTCACGTGGTATTTTTCAGACAACCACTTGGTTCTTGGAGGAACAAAGGGCGGTAACGGAATTGGGACTCATATGTCCATGGGCGGTGGTAGTCACTTGCCGTCAGGTGACCGGGCTGCTCGTTTGCCCTCCCATATACTATAAAAATCCTGTCATTGAAACTGCTCTGCACTGCTCATCGGGACGTTTTTTTTATGGTATAAGGGGGCAAACGAGCAGACGGGTCACCTGATGGTAAGCAACTACCGCCGCCCATGGACACCTGCAACTCAAAAGTCACAGGTGCGTTGCTGCCCTTGGAGTCCCTCCCGCTCGAGTCAGAGGGGGGATTTGGCCTCCGGTAACCTCACTCACTCAGTGAAAGGCAACGAAAGAATTGCTTAACACCAGTTTTGAGGCCGTTGTATCACTCCGGTCGAGCCGGCCCATTCGTGCCCAAGCATGGCTCTCCCATGGAGGGCGTGCCCACGTGCGGTCCGACGCGGCTTTGAAATCTCTAATTTCTACTAAGATATTCATTTTAATGATATGCTGTAAAAGACAATTTTGATCTACATTTAATGCATAACGTATCAAAGTGTAGTCCGTGTGGTGACATTTTAAGAATACGGAGTGTCAACACCCCTATCCATCCAGCGGGTGCAGTAAGAGCTGACTAAGGGAGCAACCTACGCAGGACAATAACACTACAAAGAGAAGGAGAACTTGATACAAATCCTACACCAACCCGTCTGGCTAGCATGGTATAATAGGCCAAAACCTCCTTTCTAAGGAGAGTCCTATCTCCAGCAGTGGACTATTATCATCTTTGAAGTAGGTTTCTTAGATAAACTTCCTAGAAATGCCTACTATGAAAGAAATAACCATGAACTCCTGTTTTTTACTTGCAGGAATTGCTCAAAGTGGTTGCTGGGGTTGCTTCGACGAGTTTAATCGGATCAACATAGAAGTACTCTCGGTAGTGGCTCAACAAATCTTAGCAGTACTCTTGGCGCTATCGCTCTTTATGAAAAGGTTCGTCTTTGACGGCAGCGATATCAAGTTGGATGGAAACTGCGGGATTTTCATTACAATGAATCCAGGGTAAGTCACAATTTCTTGTTTCCCGTGTAAAAGATCGCCTTGCTTACCGTTCATTTCTAGCAGAAAGTAATTTTTGAGTGTAAATTGTTCAATGGGTAATATTCGTGGGAATTTATTTTACTCCAACCAAATTTGTTATATAAAGGTCTCTCTTAATATCCTGATAGCAACTATATATTGGTATAATTAAGTATTAAGTAGGTACCAGGGTCTAAACTTTGTTAATGTGTACGTGCTAATGCGTGTGTGTGTGTGTGTAAACATCAGGTAAGTTTAATTAGCATCTAAAATTAAATTAAATATTATGTAGAAATATAGTTATTTATACAGACTGACGGTGATACTTATATACTAAAATAACAACATAAAAATTACATCTTTAGAATTCGAAAGCAAAATAAACAACGTGCTGGACCACGTGCAGTGAATAGTGTAAAGTGTGAGTAATAACAAAGATAGTAATCCTAATTACCATTTAGAGAAATTGATTAAGTAAACTTTTATTACCCCAGAAACTATTTATAATCTTTATATTAATCATCATCGGTATTATCTTCCTAATTTTATATTGAATTGAATTACCTATGAAGAAAAGAAAACCGTATGAAACAATCCTTAAACATTTGATTTATAGTCTTAAGATCCGACTGCAGAATCAATGTACCTACTCATCGAGTATGTGCTAAAAATCCACGTTTTTACGCATATTTATGATTAGGAGATTATATATCTACCAGGTTGCTTACTACTTCAATGTGTTCTTTTAATTTGCCATATTTAGTTAAAACCTTCAAGAAAATAACGTACCTACTCCTTTTTTTAACGTGTATTGGAAACCTTCGTGTGAAACCTCTTCGGGACGATGAGACCGTATTTGCAGTTAAATCGACTATAACCATACAATGTGCCACACTGCGCCTGAAATTAGTGGCATATCCTGACATAGGAAGATACTGCTACGTACTTTGATTTACAAACACACATACTCGTACACTCTACCCTGTATCACCGAAGGGGTAAGCAGAGTATTATTGCTACGTTTTTTTTCACACTTAGGTAAATCCGTCGATTCACCACTAACTTCCAGGCCATCTCGTCCATTCTCACTACCACTGACATCGATATTATGAACGCTTTATGAACAGTAATGATAATTTATAGGAAATATTTGAATAAGGATTCGAGTCGAAGTGCATAGGTACGTTACGCGTCATAATGACAAAGAATACGCTCTAATTAAATAATTATGGGGTATCCCTCAGTTAAAATGGTAACGCTTTAACGCTTGAGCGCGCAACTAGAGCGTCGAAATCCGAGTCTTTAAGGCCCGAGCGTTTAACGCCCGAGTCTTGAACGCTGAAAAGCGTTGACTCAGCGCTCAACACTTGACGCTTAGTGCTTATTCAGAGAGTCAGACTAGTCTTATTTTTCTTTTAAAACCCAACACCACACGTTACCCATATTGCAGTACTTTGACTCAAGTCGTACCTCTTGATACTTCCCCACACCACTAATCTAAGCCATTGACGGATAGATGAACGGACAGACGGCAAAACTAGGTTTCTGGCAATTATAGATGTATTACTGAAAAATAGAAGAGTCAAATGGAGTTGAAAATTGGCATGATGGGAAGATAATAAAGCCCAGGGAAGATAAAAGATAAATAAACAAGATAAAAACACGGTAGTCTGATCCCAAACTAGACAGAGCCTGTCGTATGGTAACCAGTCTCCTGGTAAACATATATTTCTAAATACATAGATACATTTTATTGATAAATTACACCCAGACACTGAAAAATGAATGAATTTATCTGGGTGGGAATCGAACCCATGACTTCCGGGATGAAAAAATGATAAGATGGGATGATACCAGAGAAGTGGCAGAAGTGACGCCTAACAGAGTGACTGTACGAATCATCATCACAGCCTTTACTAGTCCACTGCTGGACTCTCCTTAGAAAGGAGATTTCGGCCTACTACACCACGCTGGGCAGACGGGTTGGTATAGGGTTTGTGTCAAGTTTTCCTTCTCTTTGCAGTACTGTTCCTGCGTAGTTTGCTCCCTTAGTCGCCTTTTACGACACCCACGGGATGAATAGGGGTGATGACACTCTGTATTCTTAATCCGTCACCACACGGTGAACGAATAGCGTAGTGGTTTAAGCGGTCACCACGCCGCTCAATACTACGTCGAGTGTTGTAGGTCCGATCCCCACATGCGACGACACTTTTTGTGATTCACAAATTATTGAACTGAGTCTGGGTGTTCTTTGTGTCCGTTTCATGTATGTTTTTTAAAGTCCTCCGCGACACAGGATTTATTCCGAGTGCGGGAGTTGTCTTAAAAAAAGGATCATAATACAAAAGGATCAACAAAAAATAAACAAGTTGCCAACAGTCAGAATCAGTTTTTTTTTTGTTTTTCTTTATATGGTAAATATTGTTATTATGCAAACTTGATTTCAATAAAGGTTATTATTCTTATTATTTTATATTATCACGATTAATATAAAAAATTGATACTTTGTACCATTTACACGCTTTTGGTTAAACAATATCTTGTAGACACTGCAATCGGTAGGCGCGCAAGTGTCAATGACCTCCATCGGTATCGCATACTTCGCTACATTTCATTGATAAATAAAGTACCTAACATAACATTCAAATACTAAAAATTTCACTTAATTAAAGGGCACGTTAGAAATAAGTAAAGATACATAAATCTTAAGTGATATGTACAATCTATACTAATATTATAAAGCTGAAGAGTTTGTTTGTTTGTTTGTTTGTTTGTTTGTTTGAACGCGCTAATCTCAGGAACTACTGTTCCGATTTGAAAAATTCTTTCAGTGTTAGATAGACCATTTATCGAGGAAGGCTATAGGCTACATATCATCACGCTAAGACTAATAGGAGCGGAGCACCAATGAAGAATGTTTCAAAAACGGAGAAAAGAACAATGGCAGAAACATATTTACCTAAAACTGAAGCGTTTAAAAAATTGACTAACACTAAACTTACTTAATATTTTTTCTATGATTTATCATTATACCGCCATGTGTTGTATAAGTCTAATAAGAGATTGGATATTTTTAAAGATTTTATTTGACCTAAGTACGTAATGTCAGAATCGCCATCACGAACTGACTAGGGATGCGTGATGATATTATTATATTATGGAACGTTTTATCGATAATCGATTGTTATAACTTTGGCTTGAAATGTCTATCGAAGGTTCACCTATTATGATTATGAATTTGCTTCTGCCCGGTTTACTCGTACGCTACCGTAACTAGTACTGTAGTGACTAAATCAAACTAATTAGAAATAATTTTGAATATTTTTGACTTTTTAAAAGATTTTTGCTACACCAAAATAAATAGAATATAGTTACGTTATTTTCCTACAGAAAAATACTAAAACAATATATTGCCTAGTGTGATGAGAAAAAGACATTGTAGGTTGATAACGGCACATAAATATACATACATCGATATTTTTAAAATGTCGATACGTCGTCGTCGCACTTACTAGTCTTGTCGTTTGACACTTACACGCATGACTTAGGTACGTACCATTTCTCACAAGGCAATTGTAGTTTGTTTGGTTGTTTTACTTTTGTTTAGTATTAAACTCTCATATATGTTTATTTTAATTTTAATTTCATATAGTGTTACTCCAATATGCATGATGTGATGCCTTAAAATGTTGTGCATTAATCTCAATATAATGGATGCATGCTTTTAGTAAATAATGTCACAACTACTGACTGTTGAATAACTAAATAAATAAATAAATGCTCTCGCCTTGTGTAAATGTGTATTTAAGTACATTTATTCAAATTATTATTAATAATTTATTGCTTTATTTACACCTGCTATGTAAGCAAAGATTTTTTTCTATTGTTTCCCAATACATGCCAAGCAAATACCCTTCCTTCCTTCACCCATTTAGAGAGTCGGCTAACACTTTCTACAGCAAAATAGGGTTGCTTATAAGTAATAATAATGATGAATAATATTTTCGAATATATGACACACAACGCCATCTAGTTTCAAACAAAACATTGACAATATTTTAGTACTTAACCTCGAAACATTCAAAATCCAATATCTTTTTTCCTAGACTTCTTTCGCTAGTAATTTTTTTATGAGAATGTTCAAGAATAAATTCTCAAGAGTTAAAAACATTTTTGATATTTAAACGCTGTCATTTCACTTCAAATAAAATTATGTATGGGGACCTGCCATTGTTCTTTATTACTATTGAGAGACGCAGACGAAGTTGCGCGGGTCAGCTAGTAATTAATAAAAAAAGCAATTAGAGGTTAACTTACCACTGCTGTTTTACATGTATTTTAACAATTGTTCAAAATGTAGTCTTCTAGATATCTAGATTCAAAATGTAGTGTAGCGACTTGTCTGACGACGTTTGGGTTGTGATAAGACCACCAATGTTCGTTATGTTGGTGGTACAAACCCATATTAGTTAACAAGGCCTCGTCTGTCCACAAAATATTGGCACCCGGGTGTGCGATAAGCCACTCGCAGAATTGTGGACGAGGTAAGGCGTCTGTTTCTTGTAAGTCTTGAACTTTATGATAACGGTAAGGGTGCAAGCCAGCGGTGTTTATCAGCTTCCATACTGCGTAATGGCTTACACGGAAGCGCTGCGAGCCCGTGTGCTTGCTCGAGGATCCCGTTCAAATAAGTGAAGATTTGTTCTTCGACCTCAATTGCAAGTCTTGACCTTGCAGTACACCCCTTGCGTGTGATGGGGTTCTAAACTGTCCGTAGTCTAACAGCCTCTCATTTGCAGATAAAATCGTTTGGCGGTTAGGCACCGATGGATTTAGTATACTTGGTTTTCGGAGTAGTGGCATACTTTCCGACTCGTACAAGCGCTGTGCACCATTTAGACTTTCACCACTACAATCTACAATCATTTCGTAATACTCGCGATTAGAAATTTTTTTTTGCATTGTTGACGTCACGGAAGAACG